CAATCAAGGGGTTCTCAATCACTTGTATTCTTTGTAAAAATATTTATACAAAACCTCTGGACTATTCATAATAGAATTGGTATTAAAGTTTCTGAACAGACCACTGAATTTGATTTGGCGATCTTTGATTCATAACTTATGACAGTACACACTTTTGGGTGTAAGATAATCATATAAATGCGAATGTTCGGATGAATGGATGTTTGTCGGAAGGTATATCCGTAACGGCTGCATGGATGTCGCTATTTGCCATAGATGTAGAACATAGCTTGGACGAACAGAAGGGCTATTAATTAATTTTTTTTTTAATTTTACGGAGTCAACAGCTAGTACCTCTATATGTTGGTGATTTGGCTTTGTGGTATAACTGTGATTGAGATAAGTTCTATTCATAAATATATAATTATGATACAATTAGTTAATGTAATAGATTTGTACATATTCTCAAAGCGCAGATCTTGTATCTTGTGTCCGGTGCGAGCTAACGGGATACTGCCGGCACGGATACATAAGATAACACGAACCGCACATCTCTATCACATTTTAAACTATCTTTATAGTTAACTAGCTTTTGCTCGCGATTTGTTCTGCGCGGAATAAAAAAAAAACTTACCAGCCTATGCGTTCATCCACATATTTTACATATTGTCGCATTTTATAAATTGTCGCATTTATAATATTAACATTATTTACACATCATTGACACTTTTGATTGATGTAAAGTTACTTTTTATTTTATTATACATAGAAGTAAACAATTTTGATGCCTCGTGAAACTGACGAGCAGTTTCTTAATGGTGTACGCACATTACCTAATAATAAATGTACAACATTTATTACGAAACCGATAGTATTTTTATACATAAGAAGCTAACAGTTAACTGTTTTAATTTACACTCAAAGTTTAAATTATTAATTAAATTCAAATTGGAGAACACTATTAGCTATTGATCTTTAGTATAAAGTATGTCTTTTCTGTGAAGGAATTCGCATACCTTCATAAGCTTACAACTATAAATATTACGATACGCACTTGTACGTCAGAAATTCATGCCTAGAGGCATTTATGTTGGCATTATGGATGCACATAAACCTAATGCTTTTTACTTAATGCGGAGATATAGGAATGTAGAGAGCCGTTACAGGGAACGCATTTGCACCGGCCACAAGTCGTTATATCCTCGATTACCCTTCGCGATCCGCAGTCTCACTCCATGCAAATGTATATTTGACTACGCAAATATATATATTGTTTGATGATGGGTCATATTACGCACCGGCTAGATCGCCTTGACTATGTCTATGCGTTATAGCATACCTGTTGATATTCATGTTTGTTGACGAAAGTGAAAGGCGTACGGTCCACAGGAACCGGTCCCGAATTTGACTTATGTAACATCTATTTTTATACGTCTAAGTGATTATGTTTTCTAAACAGAAGGCCGCCGCAAAACGGTTCAATATTGTTATGACCTTAGGAGTAATTGCCGAGGCCTTAACTATATTTAATGGACCGATGTCGTGATTTAACAACCGGTGAATTATTTTAACTTCCCAATCGTATTGAGGGTCTTTGTTTCAACGTCTGTGTTCTGTATTTTTTGTGTATCGTTGTTGATATATAAATAATTAATTTGCCTAATAAGTTAGGTAAACATAGCTAGGTTAGCTTAATGTGACTTATTCAAATATGGTAAAATACAACGTATTATTATTGTAAATGTTATAATTGTTTTCGAAACTCTCCTTTTCACTACATCGGTAACATTTTTAGTAGTGCCACCTAATGGTCATAACTGAAAGCATTTAAAAATTCTCAGACTCGTATGTACCTATATTATAAATGTTCCATGAGGTTATACTGTTCAACTGTAGAGTTAATCGATTCGTTTCCTGTTGTGCTCGTTGTTCAAAAATGAAACAATTATCTTAACAGTTTTCTGAGCTAGAAGATTGCGCAATAGTGTTAACATGTGTAGACGCTGTAACCTTTATTACGTGTCAGAATAGCCATTACCTACGGATTTGTTCGCTTGCTATTGCGACACCACGTACCGTTATATTGTTGCAGATTTGTAATGATTTTCTTCAAACATTTACGTATAGTTTCGTAAAATGATGGCCATTTCTATTTGTAGACTTTGATAGCCAACTGGATACTTGAGATTCATCTAAATTTTTATGTCCTGTGAGAATTTCATTGAAGAAAAAATCATCTCAAAATCTCTGTCGAGAAATATCTAGTCAATAATAATACCAAGGATCTAAGTGAAGCGTATCATTCAGATTGCAACATTTCGTAGATCGTATTAACTTTGTTGATTATTGGCTTTAACTCTTAATCTATTGCTCATTTTGTAACAATGCTTGGAACAATTTAAAACTAAGCTACGCTATTCAAATTAGTCTTGGTTGAATCTGTTCACGGGATGGAAGACGTGACTTTTTTTTCCCAAAGCGAGGTGTCGCCCAAAGCTTGAGATAATTTTTGTCTCATGATTACCCAACATCTGTAAAAACAACGTGATGAGGGCTGTCACCGTGACGCGGAGAATTAAACCGGGCCGTTGTGATTTAGCAACGTTTGTTGCTTTAGCGTCTGCAACGGTAACGCACACGACCCGTGTGTTTACAATATAATACAGCGCTGTGAATTTAAATAATTTGTATGCCGCTGCATTTGAATCCCGTCGGGCGGGTGCAGTCGGCGGCTGACCTAGCGAGAAGTGTACGATCCCGTTAGGCTAGGCTAGGTATCACGATCGGGCTAGTTTATTGGAAAGTGAGTGAGCGCGGAGCGTAGCCGCTTCCTGCTATCGGAAGAAAGGCCATCCTCGGCGATCATTACGGCGTGCGCATTAGTGCTGTCTACGCTTTAATTACAACGTTTAGCCATGTCAATAAACTTTACGAGAGGGAAAACTTGTAGCGAGATGACGTTCTTGGTAATATAAAATGCGAATCTATTCACTGTATAACACATAATAAAAAACATATATAACTATCCACGGAATAACATTTAAAGTGCAGATGTATCAAGTTTTCATCAGAAATACTAGTAAACGGACGTCTTTAGTCAGTTGACAATCGACCAAAGATTTAATTTTGTCCTGCACTCTATCAATTTCTTTATCAATCTCTAATCAATTGAACTAGTTTGTGTTCTCAAATAACAAGTAGATACTTGAACTGGTTATTAGTTAAATAAACTTCTTTGTCGAACGTAGTTGTCGTTTTTTTATCAAGTGTTAATACAACGCTTATTCCTCAATTCTTCTCGTGATCAGACGTTTCTTTGTTTGTTTTGTTAACGAACTATTTTGTCGGTCGATTTCATGCTGCACTTTGTTGAATTGCTCACTTTTTTAAAGTGATTGGAATTAGATATTTGCTAACGATTCTCTTGACATATATTTTATGTTTCGCAAATAATAACATCGTTTGTAAACTACCGTTACTTGAAAACTGCTATTTTGAAATTGATTTCGAATATCTCTTAGATTAAGTACTACCTGTTTAAAAGAATTGTGTGTTCAAATGTAATGTAAAAAATATTACGCAAAGATTGTGATTTGCGATCCGATTCAGCTCATATTTTTTCCTGTTTGTGTATGGAATGATATGGAATAAACGACACACTTTATGATATGTGATCACTGTTTACCTCTTAGCATCCGCAAAAACGATGACTGCGGATGACTTGTTGATGCGACGTCAGATAACGAAACTAAGGAAGAAAGGATAGAAAATAGAGAATTTTACCTACAGGCTTTTGTTTTCAGTGACGTCACACTTCGTATGTTTTAAACAAGAAAAATGTAGAGTTAACTGCATTTCTTTCTAAAGCTTCGTAGTTGAGGCAATCACCACTTGACTTGTACGGCTTTAAATTAATTATTTTCAATTCGCGTGTACAATACAGTTATAAGCAGTTCACAAATACCATTGCGTGTAACCCTGGCTGGTTGGCGCGAGCTGTGAATGGTCAAGTGACACACTTACACAGGCACACTTTTGTTTCATTGTGATTTAGATTTAAACAATTCTGTTTTCATCTATTTACATTAACCATAATTCTTTTATCTGGCCAGGAACTAATGAACTTTTGACGTTATTTCATTATCATTGTGCAATTCAATTCATTAATCAATGACTATTTATTAATAGAAATGTGATAGGCATATAAAAATATTATGAATGAAATTACTTTCCGTACAACTATACATTATTTTGTCATTAAGGACATCAATATATCTTGTACGTGCAGTCACGTAATAATTGCGTATAATGCTTCGACTAGCGTATGTCTGTCCACGCCGTTACATCATGTCGCGAATTAACATTCTAGTGTCCAGACATTTAAATTAATGCAACGTAGGTTATGAAGTTATGATTAGCCCAATGTTTAAGATTTTTCCACGAAAATCATTCTTAAGATTTTGACTTTACATTTTACTCCATTAAGTCGCTTCAAATACGTTCTATCCAGTGTCCTTAATTACTTGGAACGTATGCACTAAAAATGAAAAGAATGGTGTTATACTTACTTAAAATAAAACATGTAAATTAATTATTGGTTGCATGACAAATGCGACGTTCGTGATCTATTAAATTCGTATATCAATAGTTGACGTCAGTCAGTCGTAGATAATCGCGTTTAGAAGCGAGCGAAGATCAAATCACGTCTTTCATGAATTATGAAGTCCGCGTCGGAGAAAAACCGCGATCTTCCCCAAAAGTAAAATCAAAGACAAGATATGTTTATTCGGAGCTAAAGGCATGATGTGTAAAAAGTGTGTTTCAGTGCTGTTTGGAAGGCGGCGTTGTTCAGTGTCTGCGCTGGTTTTTCATTAGACAGTGTTAGTATTTACATAAGTTTGCGGTACCTGTCTAATGCAGGATATCAGTTACCAGGAGTGGTACAGCATAGTGAGGCAGTCTTGATACAGGTGCGGTCTGTGGAGATGTTCGGTACTTTCACTGTCGGCGTGCGGCGGCGTGCGGCGTCCGCAGTGCTGCCGCGCCTCTACCGCCGGCCGCACCGCTCTCACGGCCGCCGCGGTTGCCGACCGATCGACACCCTCTCGTGCCAATCGTATGCTTGGCCGCGTACGAGCTCGTTGCTCCGCTGAATATCGAGATCGCGCTGCGAAAAATCAACATCTATTTATAGCCAATTCCCTCGACTCGACGTACTGTTGTCTCACGTAATCTCACCGGACAAATCATTTGTGCATATTTCAAATGTGTGCATAGTATCAGCGTTGCCGCCGACGCGCTGGTTCGCGATTACCACACCGGACGCCTCTTAGACTGTGACAGTGCTAATATTGATACCTGAACTGTTTGTCTCGAAGAGAAAGTGAATTCCGGTGTTTAAACGTCAACAAGTTTCCTTATCGAGTCGATTTCGTAACTGATTAATTGTGACATATTCGATTGCACCTGTGAAGTGGCACCGGCTCGATAGTACTGTTTGCTTTTATGTCCTATGTGTATATCGGGGTGTGATTATCTGGTGTGTTAATTTTGTGCCCAAACATGTGTTTGTAGCATCCGCAGTGTCAAGGTTTTGGGGACCGGATCGCACAGCAGTTTTATGAGCGCCAGTATAAAGGCAGGAGATGCGCGCTGCGAACACGGCGCGCTACGAGACGTCCACTGTAAATAAATAATGACCTAATTGTAGGTGGCTAACGTCCCTGCTATTTTGGTGTATGATTGATACGCATACAGACAACTTTAACCCGGAAGGTTAAAACAGTGAAAAACATAAAATATCAGTGAAATAAAATGAAAATATATAATTTATCAGAAGTGAAACTTTTCCTAAGTACAGTACCCACTTTCAAAGATTTCTACAGGGCGCTCCCTTTCTCTGCTGCATTCTAGACTGTCCCTAACGTTACGTTTGTAAGTTTTCTTTTATTTAAATCTGATGATAAACGAGTTGTCGTGTAAGATATCTATGACGTAGGTGCTAATTCATTAGCAATGTGTTGATGTGATAATGAGTCGCATTCAATACGTAAAGATGCCTCATTACGACGAAAGCTTTTTCAATGACGACAGTCAAAATCAAAGAAGAAACAAGCGGAGTTATCGTGTCTACAAGAACGGTATAAGCCCGTTAAACATACTAGAAACTGGCGATGTTTTGCAAGCGCTCGAGGAAAGGGGAACCTCGGTTATTAAACGAAATATACGAAATATTAAACATCGAGGCAACAGATATAAACCAGACTCGAGCCCATCCCACGTGCAAAATGCTAAGTACAAAACACAGGACGTACTGGGCATTCGCACGCCGAGAATCAGCGTATTCGATCCGAACAAATTTTACGATATAAGAAACAATAACATCCCTCCATTGAGCTCATGCAAGAGTTTTGATAATTTAACTTTTAAAAAGTCGCGAAATGGCAATGCGAATAGGGAGAGAATTAGGAATGGGACGAGTCTTCAGAATCTGGTGTGCGATGAGAATTTGAAATATTTCTCGTCTCCTTCCGAAGAATGTGTTGTTAGTTCTCACAAGGACGATGTGGGGAATTCATACTCCGTGGTAGAGGCCCGGCGCAGGCCCATGCGCCGCGTGTCGCGCACCACGGCCGCGCCCGGCGTCGGGGTATACCGGCACATCGGCGATCGCTGTGCCGACAAGAAGAATATAAAGGGTACATATAAATATACTATAGCTTTTCTTGTAAATACAACCGTTTTCTATTATTGCTAGCGTTATCTCATACTTATAAACGTGATGTTGTGGTGTCATGCGTCTATTTCTGTAACATAAATGTTTGTCGGAGCACGTAGTATAGGTGAATACTAACTGTATGGATGAAGACACAATGTTTCTGCAGGTTACTATGGCTACTGCGCACTGAATTATTCACAAAGTGGCTGGGGAAAGTTTGAGGATACCGTACAAAATATTTATTATCAATTGTACATTGGTCTTGCATCTTAATGCATAAACTTGTTAGTTTGGTTAACCAAAATTATAATAATAATTAAGTATAGATTTTGCTCAATAGATATATTGGAACCTTACATTCTGCTAAATATTACTTTCTCCATACTCTATTAGAATCTGCTCGAGAATATTTATACTTTCTTTGTACACATTGAATATTTATAAATGTAAAATTTTACCATTAAACAAAAAAAAAAATTTTCGGCACAAATGCAAAGAAACGACTGGGTATATAAAATATCACGTTTTTTGCAAACAAACGTTTAATATGACAGTAAAATTTTTATTATCTGTTAAATACAGTGTATTATCTTTCAAATTGTTTTCGAATTTAAACATTATGCCGGCGATTATGATTCTTCGCGAATATTAACCTATATAAATGCTATTATTTGCAAGTTGAAATGTTTTAATTTGTTTAGTACTGTGCAATGTTATTCATACCATAAGAGGAGTTGCAACTCCTTTGTCGATGTTTATAATTTAAAAAAATGTGTAACTGGTCAGACATGAATAAAGAATTACTGAAATGAAACATAAATTTAGGTTTAGTTTATTATAAGTAAATACATAAAGTAGGTATTGGAAAGTCTCTACCAAATAATATCGTCAACTAATGAGGCTTTTTTATTTTTATCGTATTCGGGCGCCTAACAAAACCCGTCCGCAGCACGTTTTCTAAAAGAAAAGGTCAATAGAAACTCTCCAAATTGTGCCTTTGTATCCCGAGGACATACAAAAAGCGAATAATAACAAAAACACAATAAATTCGATACTTCCTGAACTTCATACCGTCTGGTTCTTTGAGACTAGTTATATTTTTTTTATATCATTAGGTGACAAACTAGCGAGCGGCCACCTAAAAGCGCTGAAATAGCGAAGTGACCGTTGCCCATAGACATACGCAATTGCATATTCGTTACCTACCTTTAATCGACGTAGGAGAGGATGCACAGAAAGAAAAAATATTTTCTCTTTCCATGCATCCTCTCATCCGGAAAGTCCACTTCCACTTATAAGGAAAGGATGGGAAGTGGAAGCGAATAAAAGGTGAGACGGAAAAGAGGAGGATGTTTGTAGTATATTGCAATAATAACTTGGAAGCCGATTATATTCTTTTTTGTTCTTGTTTTATTAATCGTATAGTACATTTATCTCCAGTAGATATCCTTACATGTCCTTACTATTTGTTCGGTACATTTCAAGTACAATTTCTGATTTTGTATTCGGCTGTAAGCAACGGAAGAGATTGTGGTGTATCATTGTGTGTTCGCCTGTGGCTTCAGCACCATCAGGCCCGCAGATATTGTATAACAAGGCGCAACCGACGCGGGAACGCACCATTGTGTCTATTGTTATTGTTGCGATAATGTTAAGGCCGTCCGCTAAAACCAACGCGCTAACGACCCGTGCACGTTGTACTACATAATTGACTTAGTTTTGTCCATTTAAGCGTTTTTAATTACATGCGTTTGTTCTCTTATTAACTTGTAGTGTTTAAAATGTTCGCGATATATTTCCTTCCTCGAGAAAAAATCTCGGAATATATTTGACATTTATAAAACAGTTATAATATATATATATATATATATATAAAAATGCTTACCCTATAATTATAAATTTTATGACGTTATTTTGTTACTCAATAAAAAGTGTAGTTAGTGTTGTCAGTGAAATATTCGTTAATAATAAAGAGTTGTTTTTACTTTCCGTGTAACACTGGTCTGCTAATTTAGTTCCGTTCTCTTTCGTAACCATTTCATGTATTTTATGTAAAACTTGCGCCACTTAATTAAGTATATTAACCTATGTTTTTGTGGTAATCGTGACGTGTTAATCTTTAATCGTAGCACAGCATATCTTAATACGTAATGCTAACAATAAATATTTGTTTATTGAGTGTGGAAATGAAATTGTTAAACAATATGCTTTTAAATTAAGTTTTGAATTATCCACTTTACACCATGAGAAATTGCAATATAACGGTTTTATATTAAATATATCAAATATGGTTCATTTGCGAATCATTATTTATAGAAGTATATTAAATCTATAACCTTTTTACCTTAGTTACCTTTTTTATCAAGTAGCTAACAAATACAAAGGTTTCAAATTTATTATAGGTACTTTTATTATTGTTCGTTCACCTAAATCCTTCCAATAGTTTGTAAGATTCGATAAAATATTGACTTGAAAAGTTTTTGTAGCAATATAAATAGCTCCTCGACGAGACGATTCCGTTACGGTTATGCGGTCGTAGGATTTATTTCTTGATTATGAATACAGATCAAAATATTTCAGTAATCCTCAATCTAATATAGGATCATAAAAGGAACTATTTCGAGGCGCAGACGCGACAGACGGGGATCGCTCATGCAGCATGTTAAGTAGCAGCCGGTGGCGTCTCCGTGTTTATGATATGTGACGTGACGCACTCGCTCCCGTCCGTCCCGTCCCGACCGACCCGCCGCCGTCGTCCCGTTCCGTGCGTCCTTCCGCCGCCGCGGCCCGACGGCCCTCAGTCGTCACGCGCCGTGGCCTGGGCGCGTCCTGTCACCGCCGTATTATTTTTAACGCGCGTCATCGCCTTTATACGCCGTTTACTTCATCTTAGCGCTATCCTTATACGGACCTTTTTTTCTTTTTATTTAATCAAAGTTTTGTGTTTTAAGTTCGACCAGTGTTGTACAAGTTACTCAAATCTCATCGCAACAGTGCTCAGGTACGATTCGATATTAAATCGTATAAGGAATTGAATGTTATTGCGTATTACTAAGCCACTAAATATACCTGATGCGACGCCCCTCGCGGGACTTGCTGGTGACACTGTCGACTCGTTTCCAGGGTCAAAGTCCTGCCTGATAAGTTCCGCTCCAAAATAGATTCATTTGTGTTTTATATATGCTTAATTATAGTACTACAGCTATCAATTATAATATGTTAATGTGTCCTAAATCGATATCTTTTGTTAATAGTCAGGATTAATATTTACTTTATATGTACTGAGGATATTAATAATGTAAAATGATTTATATACCTACAAAATTGTGTAGGTAATAAACCTCCTTTCTAAGAAATTTTTTTTTAATGCATACAAAGAAAAGTTTGGTCTCTGCGTTTCACCGAGCTTATTAGGTCTTAGGTCTCAACCGTGACAGAAAGTCAAACAAACGCCCATAGCCCGGACACAAATTATGCTTGATGATAACTTTCAAGTAAGAATCTAAAAAGCGGAAAAATTGGAAAACGTCACTTATGACTTTGTACCAGTTCCATTGTATGACTTCATTATAAAGGTAAAATATCTCTAAATAGAAAAGAATAATGAATCAAATACTTTAAAAAAATATCCATCATCAAGGTACCACCAAACGGTATATACATTCCATAACTGGCAGACCAATACAACATAATCAAAGGTTAAAGATTTATCTTATTAAAAAAAAGTATTAAACAACGTTTAGTAGATGCAGTCCCATGTGGCTTAAGCATGTTAAATTTTCTACTCATTTTTAAGGACGTGATGAAATAGCATTTGTAGCAGGTAAATTTTGCCTGACCCTTGCTTGCCTCGTTATTTGCTTTGGAAAATAATATCTTACTTATTCAAGTGCAAAATAAAAACAAGATGTCTGAATAACTTTCGTGTGTCATAAAACCAAATATAAAACTTTATTAGTATATATATACATTTTCAAATAATAATAAATTATAATGTTAAATATTTAAAGTCGATTTATCTTTTATATGTAAAGCGTTCATCTTAACGCGTATAACCATGAATCGATGGCCGTATTCTTTATTTGGGCTCAGCAAGTACAAGTAGCCAGAGTAGAATCGTTGACTAAGTCTATGAATTTGGCATCATTAGTCAAGGCACACTACATTATCGCACTTCTCAACACACGAAACGACCTTCAATTTTCCTTATATATAATTAAGTTAATTTATTACAAATGTTTACGTTCTTGCGAAACTGAAACCAGTTCCAAGTTGTTTGTTTACAAGCATTCAAACATTTTGATTTATTTTATACGTTATACATCCTTATAGTTTTTATAAGTTAAAAGTTTAATATAACAAATAAAGAAAGACAAGATTGTAACGGGATACAAAATTATAATTAAGTAGAGAAGTTACTAAGCTCTTTTCTCATCTTAAGTTGAGTATACCTCTATTGTATTAGGAATTTTGGCACTCGGATAAATAATTCAGTATTAGCATCTATATTTCTAAACGTGGGTTTGAAGCATATTGTTATCTCTGTTTTGTTAAATATGAAAGACAGGGATGACTGTATATTTTATACAGAAATTTTAGTGTCAGAAACCCACGGTAAGGCTCGCTCTATTGTCAATAATTAAAAAAAAACGTATCAGTGCGACTGCTAACAAATTAATTGTTAGAAGGTTTGATATATCAACTTTGATGTAAAGGTTGTACTTAATAACTGCTTTTAATTTATTTTTCAAAAACAAGGTCAATCGTTACGTATATGATTTGTCGAAACAAATTTAAAGCCAGCGAATTGGTGTTTCGTGCAAAATCTTATATAACCTATTAAATAAACATGTTCTTATTTAGATCTGTGTCGGGTCAGAGAAGTAATTTTTGCAAAATAATTTATCAACAAAGTATATCAGAAAATATTTGATAATAGTTATTCTAAAATGTTCTAAAACGCTAACCTATGTAGTTATTCATTTCTGTCCAAATGCTTCAACATAGTAATTAGCAATGATAACTATCTTAAGTTTATTGTTGATAAATAAGCTCGTAGGATTTTTGAATTGTTTACGGATCAATTGATTAAGCAAGTGCGCTTGGATAAAGTTTGCCAAATTCGGTCTACCAACAATGTCACAATGACTTTGAAATCGTAATGTTTGTGTTAACTTTCAAAGAAATACCAAATATTAATTATTAATTATTTGATATTGACATTTTGACGTATATACCAGGGTATATTAGCTTTACAGTTAACACTAACACATTTAATTTGAATGCAATCATTATTTGATATCTGAGACGGCAGTGAGACAGCATTTTCAAATGTTTCTATAGGGTTAGTAGTTCAGGCGACCGTTAGAGTTTTCGAGTGGGCTCTAACACGTTACGGCAACTTTATGAACACAAGAACAACGGTTCAAAGTGAACAAGTCGGGGCGACAACTTAAGCAACTTACTGCCCCTAATGGCATCATTAAATACGTACAAGTTGCTCAACTTTGCTTAAAGTTAATTCTACGACCATATTAGTACACAAGATTTTAATTGCACGACACAGAATGTTTATGTTGAACTCTAACCTAAGCGGACTAGAATGTGAAAAATGTCACTTAAAGCCAACATATAATAATTCGTGCTGTGGTCCATCTCGGCTGATTCTATTTTCTTGAATGATATAATGTATCACGCATTGTAATATGTGGGCGGACCTCGATATGAGCACTAAACAGTAATCATTGACAAGTTAATTTGTTTTAATTACCCCGCGTACCATCAGATAATTAAGTCGTTTTTTTAATGGGGTGGATGGTCCTGGGGTACCATAGTTCGTTATGCATTAAGCAAATATAGAAATATGATTACATTATAAATTGTCCTGGATTAATAATTTAAACGCGTCAATAGCCTAATGGTTAAGGGTACGGATTTCCGATCACGAAAACGTAGTCGTAAACCATATCCTAGCACAGCTTAATTGGAATGGTAAAAGAAATATTAGTAAATTTACAAATAAAAATCAAGAATCGGTAAAAAAAGTCCGTTCAAAATTATATCTATATAAATTAATCTGAAATTTTCGCTAAAACATATTCTTTCTATTTTGCATAAAACCCCTTTCACCCTTGTGTTTTGAAGATTTTATAACACACATTTTGATAGCATCTAAGATTGTTCTAACCGACTTGTGTAAATTCTAAAAAATGTTCTACGTCTTGGTTGTATGGTTTGTGTTCAATAGGGTGTTGTTTTCAGAGAGCGAAGTGTGCGGCGAGGCGGGGTCGGGCCACCGCGGCTCGCTGCGTGGTGCCAACAAGTTGGCTCGGCGCGCGCGCTCCTTCAAGGACGACCTGCTGGAACGCATCTCCAACATGCGTTCACCGGCACAGCCACATCATCCGCCTCACCTCTCCTCCGCTATCAGGTATCGCCTGTTGTCTTATGAGATGTTTGGAATAACTGTCGGATGAGTCGTTTAAATGTTACGATACTGAAATCTTGCGAAGGATTTTTAGTAAATAAACTTATCGGGGTTGTTTATGGTATCTAAAGGAATTGAAATGGAAATTACCTATGATTAAAAACTAAATATCTAATGCATTTATCTAATTATTTATCCAACAGCTGTTAGTATGGGGGTGGGCCCTATGATGTGTTTATTAAACGTAACTAAATTAAATTCACAATGGCCTTTCATATCATACTTATAATTTGTTTTCTTTGCTTTCTAATAAATACTGTATTTAGATAAATATATAGTAAATTACTTCGATAGCTCCTTTGATTTCACACAAAAATACACGTAGGGTAAAAAGGAACTTCCAAAATTGATAATATTGAAACTGTAGTGAGTCATGTTATGCGTAAACTCATGTTTAATACAATATCATAATTCCGATGTCCACTATACAAAATATCAGCATATTTAATTGTTTGCACATAATTGGACTTTAATTGAATACTGATCTCATTATCTGAGTACTCGTACAGATGGCGCCTCTAGGCTGCAATCATGACGTTATCTTCGCCGTTGATAGCGCAAACGACATTTGCAAGCCTTGCTCGAATAAACAATGACTTTTGTGTATTTATTTTATTGCAGGAAAATACAGAAGGTAAAATATATTTATGCTCCAGAATAATGGAAATGTTGCTCTACATTGTGATCTGTTATAAAGTTTAAATACTTTTGTATTTTTTATAATGTACGGTTTTTGTATTATAGTAAAACAATAAGATAAATTTTCTCGCATCTTGGTAACTTACACAAATGCTAAATGCTAAGGTAATTTTTTTAGGTGCACATTTACATAATGAATAAATAATAATTATTTAAATATTCCTTTGATTATGCTTATTTCGTTGTATGTGGAATATCTCCGAGTTTAAATCTGAAGTCTGTTTATATTACGTATATATACCAGTATTTCGGTAACATTTCTCGCAGCAACCTTATCTTGACATGTGTGCATTACGATGAAATCTACAAGTTGACTGTATTGGTTCTTTTGTTATCTAAATTGATAAATATTACGTCCACACATAACTCAGTGTCTACAACTACGTCGGCGGGAAACTATCTCTCATTCCAGTGTTATCTTGAATACAAGAATTAGAGGATATTTTGCGAGTGTGCTATGGTGTTTATGCGAATAGTGTAACGATTATTTTGATGTACGTAGTTAGAGTATAGTTGCGCGCCGCTGTGTAAATGTGTCGTGTCGGTGTGAGTCACTCCGCGACCTGCGACTGTCGTACTCATTAATGACATTGTCCGCTGAAATCTCATTAGTTTAGTGCGTGCAATGTTAAGTGATTACATTTAAATGTTACCGACTCGTCGACGAGGTCGTATCGCTTCATCGATCGGCGGATGTATTACGATACTCGTGTTTTTGGAGTCGTTCGAAAGTTGCCGGGTTTTATGAGGCGCGGATTCAGTAGTTGAAGTGTCGCCCAATGTCGACCGCTCGTCGCTCCCCGGTCGGCGGCTGGTTCAACAAACGCACCAACCGGCTGCACCGCCGATTCGCTAACAATGGAAAACGGTACGACCAGCTGCGGCATATATTAATTATTCACAATAAACAATACGTTTTGCTTTACTCAAATCTCTCTTATGTGTCACAATATGTTCGAGGTTGCAGTGTTTTGTGACTGATTTAGTTAATATACGAATACGTTGCAGTCTCTCTTCTGTTTACATATGCATTCAGAGTTGTGCCCACTTAAGTATAAAATGTTGTTTACCTTTGATTTTTCGTCAACGTAATGTGAAGGCTCGTAAAGAATTTCGCAACTATGTTCCATTCGATACCTTATTGGCTGGGAAATTTATGTTATTCATCATTACCTCGATTACAACTAAAAATTGATGACGGTATAAAATTTAATGTTAAAAGTAAAGTGAAACTTTTCTAAGCTAATGATTTTAAATTATTTGTGTTTTATAGACATTGTAGAAAGTAATCGGTTACGTAACTTTACTATTATTGTTTCAGATCACACTCCCCGCTTAGTCCGAAACTTCGGAACATGGGGCCTAAGACTGTTGCTACTGTTGAAGAGGGTGAGGTCACACCCGCCAAAGAGTTGGAACGACTAGTCAAAGAAGTGCGTACTTTTTACATTGAAATATTGTATAGTAATAGCTCTGTTTGAATCATCTGAGACGCCAAAATTAATATTTGTCTGTTTTGACGAGGTACCTACATCATTTTAATATTTGACTGGAGATCATGTTACCAATAAAATATCAATTTGGGACAAGTTCGCCGTAATTGGAAACCTCGAATTTTAGGTCATCGTAAATTATGTAGTCATGCGTTATTTATACTTCTTAATTTGTACAAAATTAAGTGTATTAAAATTGTAGGTGACATTCGGCCTAAAACACTTCTCCGATGTGATAACAAAAAGAAAACTCGAAATGTTGCCGGACAACGGAACGATAGTATTCGAATCTATCGCGAATATACACAAAGGTAATTGAATAAGTCGATCATTTGTAGTTGTTTATCATATTTAGTTTTGTAAAAGTGTTGTGTTCGTAGCAATAAAGCCATACTGCAGTCGGTCGCCGCAGTTGACCGGCGCCGTGAGAAAGCTCTGCACCGCACTGGCGATGCTGATCCGGTTGTGCGATGAAGTCACGGTTGCAAGTCTTCGTGCGGATGCCACTGATGAAGAACTGGATATGTCTGCGGCGGCGCTGTCACCGGATCACGTCAGCTCTGTGGTGAAGGGAGTGACGTCGGCGGTGGAGGAGGTGGCCGCGCTCGCGCAGCAGCATATGACAAGACCGGCTTTGTCACCGAGACCGCCTCTCGTCTCGCCACGTTCTACCCAGAGAAATTCCTTGCCTGGTTAGTGCTTCTATTATCTTGATAGTTTACATCTTGTGAGTCGATAGCCGACGCTAACGGCATAACAACACGAGGTTGTGGTCAAACCTAGTGTTTAATTATAAAATGGTATTGATTACTTAAGTTGTAGCGGAATGTCATGTCTGTGTTATGACTACTCATACTGGCTTATAGTTATAGGTTCAAATGTCTCTTATTAGACCTAAAATCTGAAACTAGACTTCGTCTTTTATCGTCGCTTTTGATTTTCTCTTATTTTTAAGGATGTTTCTCCACGTTGCTCGATTATGGAATCTAGGTACAAAGATTTGTTTTATGTTTTTATTAATTCTTTTTCAGATATACCTTTAACGCCTAAGGAAAGATCTCTGTTAACTGGTGAAAGTGGTAATGAGACGAGCGGCGTGCGCGCCTCACACTCATCGGAATCAGTGCTGGATGCGCCCGACTCCCCGCCGCCCAAACCCGCCAGACCTATTAGGTAAGTGTAATCTCTACGTAAAGGACTCGTTTCAGTCTTTTTGATATCTAGCCTTGAGATACGTCCTATTCAGTGCCCTCACCCCGCATCCCTTTTCGCTGCTACACCTAAAATTATTGTGTTCTGTAACGACTTGGTCGAAGTTATGAGCAGCCAAGATTAAAAATTGTACATTTTCCAATACAAAGATTAAGTGAGCGTTTTTAGGCTATGCAGTAATTGAGTTGCCGGATTTCAAATAGTTTTAAAAGGATGTTTGTTTTTTGTTTTATTGAAAAATTTGTACTCATTTAATTGTTATTTTAAGTAAATCACTAAAAGATAAATTGTCAAAGAAAAAATCTGGGTATTCGATTTGCAACTCGATGATGTTTTCATTAAAAAAACTAAAGTTTCACTTTATAAATTAATTGCGTTCGACTTTCGTTTATTGGACGAGACGACGATTCCGGTTCGTCAGCTACGTTTTGTATCAACTTGACCTTGACAGTGGGAGCGATGTTTTCCGTTTTCACTTTTTTAGTGAAATCAGTTATACTGTCACGTTTGGATAATAAAAGTGAAAGTGTATGTTACAGGAAAATCGAGTTGGCCCCTCCTTTGCCTCCGAAGCGCAAGTCTGCCAACGATAACTCCCTCCTGGCACTATCTATTGACAGGTGAGTTATCAACATATCGTCGGTTTCCGTGACCTAAATCTCTGTATAAAACATATTGTTAGCTCTGTTTTGTCCAGTAAATCCAGTAAACCGATCATATTTTTTTTAATTAAACTTATTATAGCCTAATTAGGAGGAAACTTTGAATTTTTAAACGGGTAATTTGACTGAATCGCTATTATTATTCATCATATGTATTCACAATGGAGCAAATATTAAATAAAGTTTTAATTTTATTTACTTTCATTACTACCACCACTATGTAAGCTGTGGCTTTGATCTCCAGATTAAAAAAAAGTAACAGGGTTCCTTTATTTGCTAATAGTTTATTTATAAACACCAAAGAGTTAGTGTTATAAAGAAATGTCTTTATGCTTCTTTATCGTTGTTAATTTTTTTCTATTCCTTGTTATGCAGTAATATTTCAACTTTCTAGAAACTATTGAAGACGCGTCTCTTACATAAGTGTAGTCTTAGTAGTGTTTTTTAATCATATTAGTGTATTGGAAGATCTTATGCGGATAAATGTATACGATATTAATATTTACATAACACTGGATGTTCCTCGCGACTCAGTCCGCGCAGAAGTAAAAAAATACTGAGAAGCTTATGCGTTGTTCCATTTGTCATGGCTGTAGATTATGTTCTACGTCCATGCCAAATTCCATCGTGATTCGCTGAGCCATTCTCGAGATAAGTTCTAACATCCATCCATCTATCTATCCAAACATTCGCTTTTAAAATATTAGTAAGATTGTAGTTATTTAGTCTTTACGAAGGATGTAAAGTGGCATATTAAAAATAAGATTTTTCAAAAACATTGTATAATAAACATAGTAGTTTATAAAAAGCTAACGTTTATCTTTATATTAAAGAAAAAAAAACAATTTTCTGAAACGATTTATTCATTAGTATTAAATGGTAGTAACACATTTTGTTTGTTACATAATTAAATCGTTAAACTTTTATTTAAACTGAGCATTCCTTTATCATTAGGTTTAATGACACTGTTCTATTTTCGGTTAATTTTGTATTACTGAGTAATTCTTATGCAAACAATAATTTATGCATAGCAAAGTAAATTGTTTTGGAGATTGCGTATTGTATTAATATTTACGTCCATAAATTATGTTAATTGATGCGCAATAGAAACTATTATACGTAATTAATGACTTCATCATAAACCATTATTGTATTTATGCAAAGGAGTTATCGATAATTAAGAAAAATGTCTATGCTTAAACTTTAATTGACTAAATTGGTCCTAGCTCCTGCTTAGTACAATTATCTTTTGCGATTACTCTCATTAACATAGGTTAGTAAGTCATCATCACGAACTTGTGCCGACCCCTGACAGAATTTAAGTAAACCAATTATCTTGTTTTTTGTTAAAGTGTACAATAATATTGTTATTAGTCAGAGTGTACAATAATATTGTTATTTGGCAGAGTGTACAATAATATTGTTATTTGTCAGTGTACAATAATATTGTTATTTGTCAGTGTACAATAATATTGTTATTTGTTATAGTTTACAATAATATTGTTATTTGGCAGAGTGTACAACAATATTGTTATTTATCAGTGTACAATAATATTGTTATTTGTTATAGTTTACAATAATATTGTTATTTGTCAGAGTGTACAATAATGTTGTTATTTGTCAGAGTGTACAATAATGTTGTTATTTCAGACTGTCCCTGCAGTCTCACAGCAGCGGCTCTCTGGACTCCATGCTCAACGTGTCCAATGACGACGACCGCACGCACGACTCCATCAACAACGACCAAGTCTTCGTCACGCCCCCCAACTCTGACTTAGTTGGTATGTTGTTAAATACACGTTTTTTTTAATAAGCATTGAGGAATAATATTTTTTTGTAAAGTGTCGTTGGAAAATCGAATTACTAGTAAAAAGAAACATAATTATTGAGGGGAAAATTTAATGTGATTTTTTTGTTTTTAAGATACTTCCTTTCGTCCTATGTAATAAACAGAATTTTTACTTCGTTTTTTCCTATTTGTGTATGAAGATTGAATATATAAATAATATTCTTCTGTTGTTGAATATTCCAGGTATGTGCAGTTGTAACAGCGCGAATGAGATCCGCACGTCGATGGAGTCGCACGAGATGCACGTCAACAATGTGCACTCGCACTCCAACCACAACCGGTACGTCACATGTTGTCTCACTCACATCTATTATGTTAGACAGGGACAGAATGAGAGACAGAAATACTTTTTTATTTAAAAGACGTAGGATATTTTGTATAGGATACGAGTAAGAGTGGTGTTAGTTATGTATAAAAACTAAAGCATCCTGAGCCGACCTTCTGCAGATCAGGTAGACAATAACCGATTTTTATTACGAACTAGCTGTCACCTGCGACTCCGTCCATATTTAGAAAAAAAAATGTTTCTCACCCTTTAAACCTTCACGAACATTTCAAGACCAAGCTAAAGAAAATCCGTTCAGCCGTTTTCGAGTTTTAGCGAGGCTAATTAACAGCAATTGATTTATAAATACATAGATAGAGGTGACATTATTTGTATTATTTTGTCAGTTTCTCGAACGAATCCGGTTTCGTGTCTGTGGGCCACTCGGAGATGTCTACGGAGCATCTGTTCACGTCCACTTTCTCCTCACATCACTACTCCAGTCACACGGACAGGTAAACTCATAAACAAGGTATTCTGTGTTCCTAACTCATTCGCAAGTCATATAAACATTAACCATACGTGCGTACACTTTAATAATCATGAACATTTCCTCGTTGACAAACTAATATCTGCCATATTCGATTTTTCGTCATATTGCACCTTTAGTAACGTGAGAAAGAGTGTTTTTTTACCTCTAAATGATATTTTAGAAAAAATATCTAGCTGACATCGTTTAACAATGGTAGAGCCAGCGATAACAGTATTAATCGCCAAGTGCAATAGCACGACCACACAAGACATGCGTCAAGTGGATGCAATTCCGCGTATAATCTGACGAGTGTGCGTGCAGGGGGGCTATTTTTAGTTACCACTCTTTTCTTATAAGGAAATGATGGAAAGGGGAAATGGAAAGACAGGACGCATAGGAAGGGGATATGTCCTTTTTCTGTGCGTACCCTCATCCGTCGCTTAAAGGCAACGCATCTGCCTTGATCGAATTCAGATGGCCGCTTGTTCGTTCGCCACCATATAATAATTAGAAAAAATTACGTCACTTGTGAATTTATAAAAACCTTTTTCGTCTAGCAGATATTTGTTTGTTGTCAATGATTTGTTGTTGTCCGTTTCCTTTACGCTTGGCCGTTATTGTTTTCCAGTACTTTTGAAAGTACAGACTATGTGAGCGAAGTGAAGTGCACAGTGCAAAGCTTTGACAGCCGCATGAATGTAGTCAATATGAACACCGTAACCTCTCACCATTCATCCAAGTGAGTGTCTTTTTTTTTGATTTTTTTTTTTCACTTATCACACCGTGTTTGTTCTGTTCATGTTAATAGTGTTTGTGTCTTTCTGTTTCATAAGTGTTTTATGAATTAATAATCATTTTGTTTAATTGTCACTAAACTTTGATAAAAATAACATTATAATATTTTATTATAACTAGTTGATGACAAGTTAATAAAGAAAAATAGCGTATGGAAAACTCATTCCGAGGACTACACTACTAAAATCTCTACGAAAAGAGATGCATCGAACTATTATTAAACAGGTTTTCTTAATGTTATTGTGAATGAATGATAAAGAATTGTTTTGGCGCTAAAGTTAACAAAATTTAAGACGATTTTAGCAAATGGGGTATGTAACAAAGCATTACTAAAATAAATTTAAAACTTGTATTAATATAAGTGATATGTTTGTGTTGCAGGCTGGCGAGCATCACGTCGGACGAGAGCGAGACGCCGCCCGAGCTGCCGGCCAAGACGCGCCGCAACATCCGCGCCGACGTGCAGCATCACTTCCCCAACGTTGAGATACGGTTAATATTACATATACATAACATCTTCAACACAGAATAAAAATATATATAATAGCCTATAACATACCCACATGCATCAACCACCTTCTCCTCCAAAACCCGTCTGAAACAGTCCACCCGTTCCGGAGATACCCGGAACATACACGACCCTTTTATTTTTCGTTATTAACTACGCAAATATCATGTGTACGAAATACAATTTTAGTTTCATTTTTTTTATATGTAAAGATTTAGTAAGAGAAATGAACACTAAGGGACAGCTTAAATAAAGAATAATGAGAGTTATATTGATTATTGTAGACAAAGTCCGGTGTGCTCGCTGCACGGTGAGGCGCGGCCGCACACGCTGGCAGACCACCACCCGCCGCGCCCGCCGCCGCTGCCACTCAAGAAGAAACACAGTCAGTATTCATAACTATACTATACTCATATTATACTAAGGATATAATGGTTAAAATAATCTCAGTTAATTTATAACTAATATTTATAATAGAAACACATAGTCTTAAACATTGTATGGCTCATAATACATCTCAGAATAATTTGTTAATCAATTACATTACTTACTATCGTTGCAATATTAATGTAGTTAATAGACATATCACAGTCAAAAATTCAATATCTCAAATAGACTGACTATGAAATAATTTGTACTTTAAATTGATTTAAGTGTGGGTATGACTTGAATGCAGGTTGTTCGTTGCATCTTGCATGTGAACTGTCCTTGCACAATGCAATCCTGTCCAATGTGTTTACTGTGCGTTTCCATTGTCGCAACACTTGTATAATGACACCATATATTAGCCCCTCACAATTTCACATACATACATCCACATAGTCGGGTAAACATATTTGCATCCTTTTCATTTTCTTTGAAAAAATAGAGACAATATGATACAAGTGTTGCAGTAGTGGAATTTCACGGTTAGTTCCGACATTTCATGCAACAGATATCTTGCGAATTGAATGTTACATTGTCTATCATCATCATGTCTGTCATGGGTGTTATGGTCTGTGTAAAAATATTTCTAAGGTGTATAAAAAGAAGGATACAATTTATATTTCGATCTATCCGACGAAAAAGGTTACATATTCTAACAAGAGTAAGAGATGTAACCTTTTTCGTCAAATATGTTAATTAATGTCATAAGAGGGTTTCGGGAATACATTTAAAGTATATATATTTTTTTGTATTATTTATAAATCGGGAAGGTTTGATTATAAAAGACGTTAAAGTCGTCTGTACACGGACAACTTTAAGTTTTCGGTGTTCTGCTGACAAATATATTGTCAGTGTGCAGTCTGTTTAAAGCTGTTTGTGTACGTCGGCATTATGGTTACCAAGTCTTTATAATATTATTTATAAAAGTATATATGTTATGGGGCTTGTTTGTTGATACTGGTTAACATAAAACGGCATGTTGTCTGTTGTGCCGGTGCGGCGCGGCAGTGTTCCAAAGCGTCGCCTACAGTGGTGAGTGGATCTATGCATGTCACGCGATCACTAGCTAACCAACACCGTCGATATAAGGTCACCGCACACTTCAACACGAACCTAGAGCACATATAAAAACACTTTGTTATCTCTCTCAGAAGTAATCTAAATAAAATTAGAGTTAACATGTTTATGTTTGAATGTTCAGTAAGAATTCAGGGTTTTTCTCACAAAGCACACGTGTAAATGTATTTTTTTATCGATATTTGAAGTATCATAAAATAAAATTAAAATAAATATCGAAACTTAACCTTATTTTCTTAAACTCGTAATACTCGTAATTCGTAAACGGTTTTTTTGTTCACAATCATTTAACACAGTGTGCGGTGTCCTTAACTCGTAGGCAGAGACGGGGTTATGGCGCACTGAATTTGGCTCTATCACAGGTCCACTCCAAGATAATGACGCGTTGGAGGCTCATAGTTCTGTAGCGGTGCTCACGGCTTCGCTGGAAACGTCATCTATCATCTATCAGCTTGCTTCTTCACGTGTTAATTGCCTTACGCCGCTTTATTTTGTCAGTTAACAGAATTGGAATTTCGCATATTTCACACTCCAGATGATGCATGTACAGTCAGCCACAGTCATCTATCTATAGCTGTATTTGCAATTATTAATTATACATACTAAGCGGAGTTAAAGCGTCATATTATTTCTTTAGAAAACAATCTCTTCATTGATAAACTAGAAGATTATAATAATATAGTTATTTTTTTTAATCATATAAAACAATTTAAAAGTAGTGGAGAAAACTAAATTTAAAATTAAATGTTGCACTTACTTATTTAAATTATACTCTTTTAACTTATAACTTCAATTTAGACTACCACTTGTATACCCGTTAATTTCGTCTGATTTCTTATTTGTTAATCTGTTTACATTTCTATGATAGCCAATAGTTTTTTGCGGCTGACTGTACTTAGCGCTTCATTACGATCATTCGCCCTTGCTGTTTGTTAATTTGTTGGAGCGGCACACGCTCGCTTCTTGTTCATAGTTTACGTCGTTTCCACTAATAGTACAGTCGAGTCCCGCATATGAGATTCAGTTTTGTACAATAATATTGTGGTGTGCAGTCATGGCTTACATGGAGATGTTCGGGAACTGCAGCCACCCGCCCAACAGCGTCGCCGCGCCCTCCGACATGTTCCGGCACTCCATTCACACATATAACTTGGCCAGGTATGTCTTTTATATCAAGTTTAATGCTTGTTTTATCTCTAGCAACAGCAAAAAATATGTCAAGAAGTATTGTAAGATAGGCGGGAAGAAAATATAAAGAAAGTTGAGTTAACTAGTATATTTCTTGCACTTATGAGTGCTAACATAATACAGGGAAAAATTATGTTATTACTTCAAAACTTAAATATTATTGCAGTGCACAGCACAGTGCGGGCGGCGCTATCAGTGTGCAGCGTCACAAGCAGGTGCAGTGTTCCATCGCTCAGTCCTTCACCTTGCAGCACTTCGGCACTCCTCCTCCTGCGCTAAGGTAAAAACATACAATATCGTCACACTGTTACACAATGAAAATACACCATTATTCAAGTTAACTAAAGTTTAATAAAAAAGACAAATGTCATATTGATAAATTCTTTTTATTGTATTTACAGTGGTTCTGATGAGAGCATGGTGCGTAAGTCAGCGGGCACGAGCCCCGTGCCGCCAGAACCGCCCGCTCTGCCGCCCAAGATGAACAAAAACAAACAGGTACAGCAAAAACTAGGCTCTCTATGATCGGGTGCGTTGCACTGGAGATCCTGGAGCTCTCTCGCACACAGGATTGCCACCATGAGGGTTCTAGTGGTAAAATACACATAGACATGTTCCACTCATCGACAGATTATCTTTGTTTAGATTTCCCCTCAATGTCAAATCTTTTGTAAAGCATGCAATCAAACACGCAGTGCGCTATCGTAGTTGACGTAATGATAATGATGACGTCATTAATGAGTGTTCTAATTCCAGATCCCAGTGACATCCAGCAACGAGCTGCTGCCGCCGTCCTCGCCGCGCCCCTCCTCACACAACAGTTCTACAGACGACTCATTCATTAATAATGTGGTAATTCAATCTATTGACAATTTGGACACAGTTTTTAATAGTACTATTTTGTAATTTAAAAAAAATGTATTATAAATTTCGAGAAAGTTGTCGATTCAGTTGTCTAGCATCGCTTTAGTTGCAACGCAACTTTACTATTAGGCATAAGTTTTTGTCAATATATTTTTAATTGTCAGAGTTCTGAGGAACTGTACATGAGTTCGAATACACCGGGCAAGTTTCCGCTGGAGGACGAGCTGGAAACGATCGTGCAGGCGCCTGTACCTACGCCCTCACCAGTGCCTTCGCAGGTTTGTTATTGCACACACGTCAACACATCTACTAACTGCTAGAGCTAATGCACACAGAGCTCTAAATTGTTCACTAAGTGAGACCCAATGTGTATGGTTTCCGTACTAAATCCACACTAAGGGGACTTATCGACTTTGAGTGCAGTAGTAAAAGTGGGAAATGAATGATTCATATTGAATTTGTTGTAACAGAGAAGCGCGGTCAGTGCGGGCAGTGCAGGGAGTGCGGAGAGCGCGGAAGGCGGGGCGGGCGGTGCGGAGGGCGTGGCGGAGGGCGGGGCGGAGGATATCATCCTGCAGAGCGACGTGAGCCAGTGGCTGCTGTTGCGCGACCGCGACAAGGACGGGCCCGAGGTGCGCGGTGGACACCCCGACGCGCTTATCGTACTCGCCACTAAGGCTACCAAAGGTACCTTTTCTTGCACACACTATAATATTGTGACTGCATCAATGTCATAATTGTCATATTAGTTTTATTGAGACAAAATCTGTCATGTGGGCCTTGCACGAATATATGTGACAGTCGCCATCATATCGTCATCGTTAATTTTAACAAAATTAGTATAAGATTATTGGCGTACTTTTGTCGACTGACGACAAAAGGGGCAAAGGGGACAAAACTGGGGGCGTTGAACAAATTTTAATACAAATTTTGTCGATGACGATATGATGGCGATGGTCACAAATACTAATGCAAGGCACACAGATGGGTATTAGTCAAAACTACAGCTAAGTAGCACCCTTCTGCCAATATCGTAATTTTATTATTGCTAATTTGACAAATATGACATTAGTACTGACTGTAATTGGTCGTCGTTTTTTAGTCTGTACTAATACAAGGGATCATTGTAATATGTAATGGTAAAAATAAAAACAAACTTATTACTCAAAATAATTACTAAAGTTGTGTGTAATTTCTTAGTATTACTGGGTTTTGTATTTTAACGACATAATAGTTATTAAAATCTGATGTAAAATTAGCGAAACTTTCTACTTATTGGTAGAGTTGTTATTGTTCTTATGAACTATTAATTCGATTTAGTATTGGAAATCTTATGTACTCGTATAAATAAATCAACATCTAGATTCTGCATCGTTCAAAGTAAATAACATTAAATAGCATGAATGGAGTTGAGTTGATTATGTCATCTTAAACAAATACAAAATAGTAACCATTCAGGCATGTGTTACCAAATTTCAATGTCTTTCTTTATCTTTCTTTTTGATATTAGTCTTTTGAAATAGGTGTCAAATATCTTAGCGGCTCTGAACATCGCTCGTATCGCATAGTAGATAGCCCAGATGACCTCGAGCCGCCAAGATATTTGAAAAGACGTATACTAATAGTATAGAATACATGTTATATTTTGAAGTCATCTGGTTTAACATATAATGAGAAACTTGCATCTAACATTGTAACTTTCATGCTTTCACTTTACAGAAACGGACGAGCGTAAGTGGTTCGGTTGGCTCATTGTATGACTTGGGACTGAAAAAGCTGGTTGTTACTAATATTATTAAAGCTTTACAAATGTTGCTGGGATTTTGGATTTATTAGCACTTTGCTGTTAAAACTAACAACTTAATATAGCTTTGTTTGTCACACTTGTGGTAACATTGCCTCGCCTTGCACTTCATACTGAGCATGAACTGAACACATTATTTTTTTTTGTAATTTAATAATTATAATATATGCACGAATATTTGTAGTCGTTTTAATACAAATGAATTGATTTTAGCTTGTGTTTGGAATTAAAATATGTATGGTCAAATTCAATGGAAATAAGAAATTATAACATTTATTGTCTATGTATTTAAATTTGTCAGTTTTAGTGTTTAAATCAATTATATAGGCTTATTAACTTAAAATAGTTTATATATATATATATATTTGTTATAAATGCTTATTTCGATTGAATTGGACTATAAATAGTTGATTGTATGTGTGTGTTGTGACGTGCGTGTGTGCGCAGACTTCGCGTACCAGGAGGCGTTCCTGGCGACGTATCGCACGTGGGTGGCGCCGCGTGCGCTCATCGCGCGGCTCGTGCGGCGCGCACACCACCTGCGCGCGCGCACACACGACCTGCGCTCCACCCTCGGCCTGCTCACTAGGATCGTAGCTGATCTCACGTTAGTTCATACTACTTGCTATATAATACACTACAATAATCATAAACATCTACCAATTATCTGCAGCATAGATTTGATAATGAGTTGTTATAGGTGTTATGACACGATCGAATCGATGAATTAAAAAAAAAATTATTATGATGCCAATTGTAGAATAATGATTAAATCCTTGTACCTCATCTATCCTCTGTATCGTAAGTATAAAAATTACCAATTAATTTTAGTATGGCCGATCTGGATCGTCCACTAATGCAAGAGATAATGGAGTTCATCTATTGGCTGGTGGACGCTGAAGAGCTGCCGATCGCGAAGGCGCTGCGACAGATACTGGTCGATAAACAGAAACAACTACATTTCCAACAGGTAATTAATTCTTTATGATTCTTCTTTTTCTTAATCATATTTCATACGATAAATTACCTCCGGAACGGTTGAGGCGAATTTTCTTTTATACATAAGAACATAAAAGTGACTTTCGGAGTAGTTGCAAGGAGCGAAAGTATCGGTGTGTGTATACTTTGCAGACAAACAACCGGTACGAGTACGAGACGCCGTGCTACGGGTCGGTGTCGCTGCGGCGCGACACGCTGCTGGACTTCAAGGCGGGCGAGGTGGCGGAGCAGATGACGCTGCTGGACGCCGCGCTCTTCGTGCGCATCTCCGCCGCCGAGGTGCTGTCCTGGCCGCGCGACCAGTCCGAGGAGAGCTCGCCCAACCTCACGCGCTTCACCGAACACTTCAACAAGATGAGCTACTGGGCGCGCTCCAGGATACTCGAACAGGTCAATATCATAACCCTTGCACATATTACGTCTTTCATTGATCACTGAGGAAGTCTCTTACCATACATTTCTTACACTAAAGTATCCCTTAGTGGCCACTGAACGACTCCGAGTGCGACATTAAATGCTAATGGTTTATTTAATAGTTTAAATGAAAGCGCTGTAGTTTCGTTTTATTATAGCTTTGAATTCCTAGATTTGTATGGTATTGTTGCAGGAGGAAGGCCGCGAGCGCGAAAAGTATGCTAGCAAGTTCCTGAAGGTGATGAAGGCGCTGCGCAAGATGAACAACTTCAACTCGTACCTGGCGCTGGTATCGGCGCTGGACTCCCCGCCCGTGCGCCGGCTGGGCTGGCCGCGCGCCATCTCCGATGCGCTGCACGATCACTGCGCCCTCATAGAATCATCGCGCTCCTTCAGCGCCTACCGCACCGCGCTCGCAGAGACACAGCCACCTTGTATACCTTACATGTCAGTAAAATAACTTCTCGTTAAAGCCTGGCTTACATAATGCCAGTATAGTAGGAAATCAGCATATTGATGCTGGTAGGTTTTAGTGAGGAGGAATCTCACATAACCCTATCTTTCCCCAAAAAGCCTGTTCCCCCTGTCTTTTTCCTACAAAAAAGGACATCAGCGCTGGAATAAAACTAGCATAGCACAATTCAAGCGCTACTGGCATATTGTAAACCGGACGTAACGTATTCCCGATGTTTTTTTTTAATCTAATACACTTTTATATTTGTTTATATTTCTATTGTTAACTTTAAATGTATGTGGTTATATTTTGTTAACAGTGGTCTAGTCCTACAAGATCTGACATTCGTGCACATCGGTAACCCCGACCTGTTGCCTAACGGTAGTATCAATTTCACCAAGAGATGGCAGCAGTATCAAGTCATGGAGAGCATGAAGAGGTTTCACAAAGAGTAAGTATCACTCTTAATTATAATTAAGCTACCTAACTAACTTAAGATCAAGATTTATAGCAATTACATTGATGTAAACTACAGTGAAGGATTAAGCTAACGACAATGAAAAGTAACGATAAATGCATAACAAAAAGACGTAACAAAGAATTAATGGTAAATTTTTTTATTTATAACAGACAGTACAAGTTCAAGAAGAACGAGCGCATCCAGGCGATGTTCAACGGGTTCGATGACGTGCTGAGCGAGGAGGCGATGTGGCAGGTGTCGGAGAGCATCAAGCCACGCGGCGGTCGCGCGCGCAACACCTCGCAGCCATCGCCACCAACCACCGCTAACGCCAACGCTAACGCCACAGCTAACGCCAACGCCAACGCTAACGCCACCGCGCAAACTGCTGCATAAAGCTATTATACTATTAAAGGTGAGCACATTTCATAAAAGGTTAGCGGTTGTCCGAGACTTTATTAGTACAGAATTAAAAAAGAAACATACAGCCTGTGTTAATCCCGCACACTTGGCTACAAGCATACAATTTTAAAAATTTGTATTCCGTTATAAGTAAAATAAATATTAATTGTTTAGAAAATTGGATATCCAGGTTTCCCAGTTAAATAAAAGGTTAGTTAAAAAAATTGTTGTTTGTTTGCAGGTATACACTAATCCAAAGAATATAAGAAGATTGAATGACATCAGTGAAGATGTGAGAACAATGTACACGCAAGGAATTGTATTAACTTACATAATGTATTGTGATTATCTGTCCTAAAATGGCCTAATTATATATAGTGTTTGTGAATAAATTACGCTGAAGTCAACTGTGATCGCTCCGAAGGGCGAATGTGATGTGGCAGGACCCAAATCGTACTACAAATACATGCCACCGATAAATTGAAAATATCGTCAGTTTATAAATGAACTAAACATGTGATATAAGTTTGTGAAATTAACAAATACACAATCCTTAGAAGAAATATCCGTTTAATAATCGACCATTTGAATCTATAAATTGTTGAGACATGACACGAATAATTTCAGTTCACAATTTCCTGGTGTGATTATAAACTGACGAATAACACGATTTATCGGTGTTCCAGACAAATTTTAATTTACAAATTGCATATAACTTGAAAGTTACTGTCTTAACATATCAGCTCGTGACTTAGTACAGTAAAACATTCGTCGCTAGCTCTGTTAGAATTCATATTAGCCTTTACTCTATTTTGTCGCGATCACAGTGTCTCTGAATAGGGTTAAGAAGATTTTTTCTTACATTTTGTAAGTCTGATATCAAAAAAGAAGGTAAAAAATAGTATATTGTATTTATATAAAAAATCAATCGATTTGTTTAAATATTCAAATGAGCATTATAATGTTAAGATTTTTTTTAATACTTTATACCCCAAAATAGAGACACTGTGACTTGCCAAGATTATATGTATCTTGTTTATATTAACTTGAAGTTGTTAAACTTCACAATACATCGAATTAGTGAAAGTACTTTCAAAGTTAGAATTAGCAGCTTTAGGGCATCGGTGTCTCAAGTATTTAGTATTTACCTTTCAAATAAAAATGTGCACGTCAATGACTTCGATCTGTCAAAAATCACCAGAAAAGTACAGATTTTGATTTTAAAAAAATGTCAATAAAGTACATTTAGATTATGGCGTCACAATATTGTGTTTATGCACATTTTTATTTGAAACACGTAACTTCACTAAACATTATAATCGATTACGTATTATGCTACTCTAGCGTCATATTTAGCATTATTTCTACTATACACGTAAAATATTTCTGGCATTTATAACGATATTGAACGTAAAAGTGCCAAAAAAACAGTTTTGCATTAATTAATAAAAAGGCCCTAACTATATTTATTGAGTACAATAATTTTGTATTTTTAGAGGCACTGGATTTTTTGAAATTGTTGACATGTTTTGAAATGCTTATTAACATAGGCAATGGTACTAACTAAATTATTTATGCTTAATATTCAAACATTAACTTATATGTAGCATATTTATAACATATTTAAATTTAGTAAAACATATAAAAAACTATTGGAAATAAATATAGGCAATTTTTTTTATATTTAATTAAATAATGCTACATTAGTGAAGTACTAAAAGCTACAAGAGTATCTTATATATATTTTTTAAATAACTACTTTTAAATTAATAACAATGTGTTTTAAAACAAGTATTTTGACAATGGAAACACAATAACTATTCAATATAATTGGTTAGATATTTCATATGCGCAAGAGTAGCTTAGAAATAACGTATCGTTCCGGTAGCCACTTCATTATCGTCTCAAAGTTACGGCGAGTTTCCACTGTCTTGAAACTTGTATAACAACAATAATGTCATCTCTTTGATAACAACATAGATATTAATAATGTTTACATATGTAACGACAGTTGAAATTCACTGTAAAATTTTTGTGTAATTTTTCAAATTTGTAACGCATCTTATTTTTGATAAACAGAATGATATTTTTCTTATGAAATGCTACCCTACAAGGGTAATGTAAAAAAATTAAAAAACTTCGAGATCTAAGTCGTTCATAGATTTAATATGACAATTCGTGTCTTTTAAAACTATAATAAGCGTTTGAAATCAGTAATTTCTCTTTGGTAGTGCGAATAGTTAACTTCTCAAATTTTGGATTTCAATATTAAATAAAAAAATATATAGCTGACCATTGTTTTGCCTTAAGACGATTTCTCGTCAGTAAGGAATAGCAATAATGTTTCTATTGTTAGTAGGTTTGCTGCACATTTGTGATACTCGTTTAGAGCGTTGCTTATTTGGTTGACGTCAACGCATAGACAATTATATTAGGCGAATGTAGCTAGCGGTAAGCTTCGAGATAACCCCATATTATACCCTGTTTCAAATCAACATCGAAACTTTGTAAATTAGAAAAAAAAGGATAATCTTGTCAGTCTATATGTTGGTTTCTACCATAGAAACACTTGTAGGATATCTCTTATTTTATCTGAAAGTAAAAAGATGATGTTTCTGTGATTATTTTATGGAAATTGAATAGTGAAATTAATCGTAATGGGAGTATAGGATTGACACGTTTAGCATAAAAAGCTACCTCTTTGTTTACAAAGTTTAGTTCATGATTTGAAACAGAGTATGAACATTTATGCATTAGGTTTAAATGTGTACAGTCAGCGGCAAAGATGTAAGTTTATTTATTGTAAATTTGATTTTAATAGAATATAACTAGTAATACCAGTTAACAAGTATCGTACCGTAAAAGTACAACTTAAATTATATCTAAATATTTAGACTATTCCAGGATAGTATCTTGAATTTAAGGTTTAAAACATTTCTAGGTTGTTTACAAAAATTAAAAGGTTCTGTAAAAAAATATCAATTTTACATGATTACTGCCATTGCTATATTACATCTATCAGGCGCTGACTGTACGGTATTGTCTTCTTGAATAAATACTTTGAGAAGAGTTACTATAAGTCTTTTATGTAGTTGAATTATTCATTAAGACAATACCAGACGATAGTATACTTAGATAATTATTATATTTATATACTATTGTATTTGCACATGTCGGAATGAAAGCATTTGCATGCTTCTTATGATAGAAAATACGTAAGAATATTTTTGTCATTCCGACTTAGTGCGAAAATGTAAAGGCGGTAAAGCAGGATCTTGTCTCTAATCTAATCACTATAATATAAAAAAAATATTTATTAAAATCTAAACTCGACGTTCAAACTATAAGGTGTTGCAATCTTAAAATTGTACTTTTTTAACGTCGAGTAAAATTGACCATCCAAGCGTTATAGGAGTCAATCCGCTCTGCTGCTTATGTGGTGTTACTAATTAAAAAATGGCCTATTGATACAAGATCCTGCATTAAAGCCATTAATACTTGAAAATGATCTAATTGTAACATTTGAAACACAAATTGATCATTTTCAATGAACATGAAATATTTCATTGTGCTCTTATGTAACCGCAACGATTTTATAGTTCTCGTTTGTATTGAGAAGGGACGCGAAGTCCTATGCAATAATGACTAGACCAATATTTAGAATGTTTTACAGTGCTTTACAGATACTAATAGCTGGTTTTGCAGTTTATATAAGGAAAAAATTTTCGGTGTAGTTAAGTTTTGGTAGACGTTACCATTTGTGTTTTACGGATACTGCGTTGCAACGGTTTGATGTTATATTAAATGGAATATATTAAAGACTGCCTAAATTAATTACTCAATATATTCGATGTGTAAATTAGTGAAGGGTTTGTTTAACGGAATGGCCGCGAACTGTCCGAGCGGCTACAGTTCAACAACAGGATTACGGTCACATTTATGTGAACTGCGTACATATTTTTGTTGTATTAGCAACTTCAGTATTATATAAATGAAAATGCCATAATGTACGAAATGGATTTATTATTATTATTATTTTTTGTTTATTATTATTATGGACTGTTTTGCGTTGTACACGGTACTGTTTATTTTTTTTAGTTATAAGTATTTTAATGCATCAGTTAGTATTGTACATTACGTTTAATAAAATCACACTGTATCTGAATCGCATGCATGTACAGTTTACATTTTGTGTGTCAAGTTTTCTTTTTGTAATTATTTTGTAATATAAATATAGCACGTTATTTACAGTAATATTTTGTATTTCTTTTTATCCATTAATTGCCAACCATTCAAAGAAGTTTGTAGTTAAATAAACATTTTAAGTAAAAGGATTTATGTTATCTTTTTGCTAATTTCAGATTATTTTGTAATTAAGATGGCGGCCTGCTCATTATCGTTGTTGCATTTAATCTTATGCACTATCTAATTGTCTCATGGTCAATCGCCTGATCACTCTGTATAATCATGTAATATTTTTAAAATAATTGTAGCTATCACACAGGTATGGTTACGATAGCACAATGGTTAAACAAAAACAAAATTGTTAACCGGTTAACTCTTGATAAAACAGTAGGGGAATCGAATCTCAACTAGTCTGTTCCAATGACTTTCAGTTTTTGATGCTTTTGTGATTCGAAAGTACAGAACCGGGATTTTAATATGAAAAACTTACAGACAACATTACAAAAATCTTACTGATATTATAAATGCAAATGTTTAGATGGATTGGTTTGAAGGTATCTCCAGAACTGCTAAACGGATCCGGCTGAAATTTGGCAAAGACGTAGAACATAGTAAGGAAGAATATATAGGTTACTAATTAAGTATTGATTAAATTCCGCGCGGAAGGAGTTGCAGGCGATAGCTAGCTTGTAAATATATGTTACTTTCTTTAACATTTAAATTATTACACGTCGAACTACGAACAAAATAGCGTAGCACAGTAGAAAGCTAATCTGTAAAAAAATGGTAAACATCGTTAGTTGTTACTAAAAGGTGTCATTGCACTGGGAACCTTGGCGCTCAGCAGGGACTTGCGATATCTAAAGGAGCGTTAACCACTTCATTTAGAACACACAAAACATTTTAGATTAGACGCAACACGTTTATCTAATTAGGTAATCGATAGTCGTATCCCGCTGTCTGGAATAACTGTCGAGCGTATTATAAAGTCATGCCACAACACCGGGGCCGCAGTGCAGTGCTCCTTGTTGACATGGCTACCGTTGATCGTTGTTTAGTTTTTAAATTATTAACACTAACATTATTACATGTGTTAATTATATCATGTTACGCTGCGCCATTAATAGATGTCGAAGCTTACGAAGATGGTATCTATATTTTGTATTTACTTTCCTTATTTTGTCAAGTTTTGTTGAATCCTTTGCCATAGCAAGATTTTATTATATGTTAGGAGTTAGGATCCTTTTTATATTATAAGGTGGAAAAGGCACAAGCACCTTAATTTGCCTAAAAATCGAACCAACCGTTGTCCATTGGTACAGTAGTCATTAACAATTGCGGATGCGCTGCCGCAGAAAAATAACCTTCTATGTTTCGTACAGATGTGAGTGTAGACGAAGAGTTCGGTGAATATTTTGAAGGCGATATGTTGTTAAGACCAAAGCAGAGACAGGCCATATCAACGGCGGAGATGAACCGCAACGGCCTCGTGGACGGCGTCAAAAGATGGCCAGACCGCACCGTAATATATCATATACAAGAGGATGATTTTGGTTTGAAAACATTACACATGTTTTGTTGTATTATTAATCATAGTCAAGAATAGCCTTTTTAAATCCTATTTTAAAAACAGATGAGGAGCAAGTTCAAATGATAGAGTCTGCAATGAAGGATATCGCGAATAAATCCTGTATCAAATTCAGGCCCAAAGAAAATGATGAACACGCAGTTCTGATCAAGGTACTACTGTTTTGTTCTGAAAGGAAATATTAATTACCTAAACATGAGATTATATAATATATCATTTGTGTAGAACCTTATTATAATTCGAAGTTAAAATTATTTCAAGAGATTGATTTCTGTTTGTTATTTGTGTAAGAGTTTGGCGACCGATCAGGCAATGTGTTACGAGACTTGAGAAAAACGAAAAATGTGCGCATGTATTGTTGAGATTGCGGCATAAAGGGCAATGTTAAGACTTGCAATCATTAAGCAGTCGTGCGTAGATTCATGTGAAAGTAATAACATAATTTGTTACTGTATCACTCCAAATGAAAAGCTGAATATAATAGATTGGAGGGATAGTTTTATTAGTTGGGAAACCGTTTTCAAAGTGATTGTCAACTTGCAGGGTACATCGAACGGTTGCTTCTCTAATGTGGGTTTCACGAATGTGAGTGAGGATGAGGAGGAGGTGCAGCAGGTGCTGAACCTTGCAAAGGGCTGCTTCAAACATGGTACGGTGGTGCACGAGATGCTACACACCCTCGGCTTCTACCACATGCAGAGTACCTACAACAGAGATGAATTTGTAAAGATTATTTGGGAGAATATCAAATCAGGTAAGCATAATGTCACCAACTCATCATTAACTTCGTTAGTGTACGGTATCAAATTGAACAGAGTATCTTGTGCTTTACATTACACAAGTACATTAGGCTAGTAGCGTTGGCCTGGCATTTTTTGATTCTCAAGCGCCAGTTAATATTTACATGATGCCAGTATGTCAGCGCCGATTTTGTTCGCTACAGACTTACTGTACTGGCACGATGTAAACCAGATATTACGTGCGTTATTTGTGTGTCAGGCACGGAGCACAACTTTGCAAAATACAACAACGACACGGTGACGGACTTCGGTGTTCAGTACGACTACGGCAGCGTTATGCATTATCCGGAGGTTGCATTCTCTAAGAATGGGAACAAAACTATTATACCATTGCAGGTAAAATTGTCTATTTCTAGGTTTGTCCATCTAAAGTATGTCTAGGAATATTATGTTACATTCGGAAACACATAACGTTTTATAAGTATTTTAAAAAGCACGTAATCTTTGTGTTTAAAAATGGAACAATATGGTTAGTTATTTGAGTGTTTTTTTTTTAATTTTTAGCATTTTATTAACGTTTTTCTTGTTTTTGTAGGAGGGTGCGAAAATTGGTCAAAGAAAAGGAATGTCCGAGAGTGATATTATAAAACTAAACAAGATGTATTGTGAACCAGAAAAAGAAACAGTAACTGAAAAAACTGAATAAATGACATTTTTAAGATCTGTATTATTTTAGTGATTTTATTGTTTCTGAATTTAAACATTAAATAATATTAATTTTGTATTTATAAGTATTTATTTACTTTAATTTGTTTAGTTTTCCTATATGTAAGACTTACAACTATGTAGGCAACAAATAAAGTTATTTACATACCAAATTTATAGACCAAACTTTACTGGTGCTACAATATTTCCAATATTTTTGAATCTATTCTAAAATAATAAACAATTATATTTACAGTTTATTTTGGTTAAATAAAAAAAAAACTTTTTGTTTAAAAATCCAATAGATGGCGCTATTTCATTAATTGGAGTCTGAATTAGTTATAATTAAGTCATTTTCAGATAAAAATACATTACGTTAGATTTTTTTCGGTACAAATTAGATTATTCACAGAATTCAATATACATAAAACATATTAAATACTACTCGGTTCCAAATGTTTGAAAACATTTACTTTACAACGGTGCTAGTTAAATTTTCTACAATTTGGCCCCAATTTTTCAATTTTAACGCTCGTGTAATAGTTTCGTAACTGCGCACTACAATAAAATCAATAAAACACGAATGTTTAAAAAAAAATGTGAAATCAAATATTGCTAAACCATTCCAGCTTGTTTTAGCTGAATCTGGGTGGTGATTTCTTACTGGTATTATTTGATGTTATTAATAAAACCACAGATAATACTTTAATATACTAGTACGTAAACATTACTAAGTTATTTTTGTCACTGTTAATTACTAGATGTTCCTAGTGAAATGTTAATTAACAAACGAACATGTATTTTCAAAAGTAGGTCATAGAATTTTTTGCTATTTCTTGTTACGCAATTGTACAGTAAAATTTACGAGAAAGTATTAGGAACAACATAGACAAAATTCGTATTATATCTGTACAGCGTCTATCGGCCTTAAATAAAATACAACAAATCCTCATACAAATTTTGACATATTTTATCGATGACGTTAAAACGCATATCACAAATATTCGTGATAGACCCTAAGAACATGTTTAAAAGCAATAGACAATTATACATTACAGTGTTCCTTTGGGCTATTAGCCAGGCCGGTAGAAATAAATACTTACAGCTGTACCGATTTTCACGCACATCGGTGCAACAAGACAACAGCGAAGTACCGAGCGCACAACTTTTTCTTCTAAATATCTATTGTTTTAAGTTGAAAGGTGAATAACGTACTTAGTTGTATCATAAATTGCAATCTGAGATATTCTTTTTATTTACAATTACAGCATTTTTATAGTCAACTTTTAAATGTTAAATATGAGTTTCCGGTGTCTGCGAATTGTTAATGCATTTCAAATATGCGATGCTATTTTTTTTTGAGTATATTAAAGACATTTTTTACATATGTATATATTTATGTAACAACCTTGCTTCTTTAAAAACGAGTTCTCTGTGAGTAGGACAAGATCCTTACGACGCAGTTGAAATCGGAAACTAAAAGAAAGTGAACCGGTCACTTTCCGAATCTTATATCTACAGTAGACGTTAAGACAAGAATTTTATGTAACACATGTTCAATGTAAATAAGATTTACTTTACTTAAATATAAGGTAGCGGTAAGTAATTTTCTTAATCTTGACACTAAGAATTGATAATGCTGTACTGTTCGTCCTCGACATGCATACATACGAGCATTTATGTATTAAGTCAATTAACTGCAACACAACTACACCCATAACCAAGGGAGGTAGGCAAAGACAATTTCATTGGCGCGTGTCCTGACACCTCTCACCTCTATAATCAATAAATAATTTTTGAATCTCCATGTTTGTGACATAAAAAAATCTCCGTAAACCGCAAATTTCCATGACCAACTAACATTTAGAAATAAACTATACTTAAAAGGTTAATAACATGAACCGCGACACAATTAAATGTCAAAAATGTAATAAATAAAGGAATCCTGAGACATTTAATAACTCTAATTCACGCTAATATGGATTTCTATCATATAAAACTTGTATGGTTTGAGATAGTACCGATTATTTACCGCAAACCTCTTACGAATGACTAATCAAATAAGGCCCCGAGAAAGTGCTTTTACTTAGCGCATTAGTATGCTGACTCGTGTCAGGATTAAAGCCTCTAAGCAGCCCGAAGCTAAGCCCTGGTATTTCAAAATTCGAACACGGCAATTGTTATGACCTTCATTTCGCTTGGCTGGCAACTGTTTTGTTAATAATAACTGGCAAATTAATTTGAACCATTTTTTTATTTAGAACCTATAACTCTAATTTAATAAAAAAATCTTTGTTTATGGGCATTGTAGCATGAAATTTGGCCGCTTGCTGATTGCGTTAATTTATGGAATTAACCGATTACACTGGGGTCTAACAAAACACAAAATAAATAAGTAAAAGATGAAAGTTGATTGATCGTAGGGATTTGGGCTCTGCACAGTTAAAGAAGTGAAAATGAATATGCAAATAAAAAATATTCTATTAATATAAAACAGCTCAGTCAACCAAATAAGTTTAATAATTTATTGTACCTGATCAACTTTTTACTTTTCTATTTTATTAATTTATGGAGCAATAAACTTGAGAAGTTAAATACATCTACATCCAAAAGTAATAAGTTAAATTAAGTAAAAATCTAACTCTTTAAATATGACACAACACAGGCGTGAAGTGGAAATAATTCCGCGTTTCGTCTGTTTAGTGTGCGTTCCGGAGGCCTAATTTTAGTCCTCTTTCTTTAGGAAGTGGATTGATAAAGGGGACCAAGCATAGGAAAGGAAAATATTGTCATTTTGTGTGTGTCCTCCTTCGTTGTAAGTAGGTAAGCAATGCATCTGCAATTGCGGATATCTATGCAGCCGCTTGCTCGTTTGCCACCTTATAATATAATATAAAAAGATAGCAAAAACGTTAACGTGATTGTTGATAATTTATTTTTGTTTCATTCGTCTCAAGATTTGTCAATATGTACAACAGCGATAATAAACCGCAACGCCGTGTTTGTGTAAATGACCTAAAATTGTACGCTTTTTATTACACAAATAGAACATAAATGGTATTGTGGTATACAAAGGAAATCATGAGTTTTATTGTAAGACAACTCGGCCGATAAATTTAGCAATTTATTGTTGCGCGGATTGGCGGCAAACGAGAAGCAAACGCTTGTCTGTCTGTCGCAATGGCAATGGCAAACGGGCGCAGTTGCGGCCCCACGCCTTGTGAAATGGTCGTATCTGAACCTATATTAAATTCGCTAAGATCCGATGGGTTTTGTTAATCGCGAATCCGATGGACGCTGCGCTTTAACGCTGACGAATCAGTTTTTATTACCGCATAATTATAAATATTCACGCATTTTATTAAAATGATAATCGTACTAATTTAAAATTTATAATCATTATATAAATAAAAGTATTAGTTCACTGAAGTATGAAGTGGCCCAAAGTTGTGATTTTTATAAATATTCTAGTGACAAAGTGCTGGACAATGACTCAAAGTGAATTGGACGAGTTCAGTGATTTCATACAAAAAACTTCACAGTTGGATTTAAATTTAAAAAGTGAGTTGTTGACTGAGATTCATGTATGGAAACGATGATAGACAATCAACTAACATTATTTTTTCATCATCACGGAAAAAAAAGCAAGTTATAGGACAAAAAAAATTGCATATAAGATATTAGAACCACGAGTTTCATAATCTATGTAGTTGTAAGAAATTAAATCACGTCTTTGTATAGAAAAAAATCTATAAAAGCAATTCCCAATTTTTTTTTTCGTAAACCCCTTTCAAATTTTATGTTACCTTCGGTGTTCTTCCTACACTTCTTCTGTTCATAAACCCTCAAGTTTAATTCTCGTCTTAGGACGGACTCAATAGGTTAACCTGGACTAACTTGGATATCACTGTTTTATAGTAATTAGAGTAAAACTAAGTAAAGTTGTCTTAGTATTCAGATTCCCTGTTATATAGATGTATACTAAAATAATCTAATAGTAATTTTCGTTGTTTAATTAGTTTTTGATTGAACTTAAGTTTAGTGATTAAATATAACTTGACAAACGATATCACGGGTGTAATTTCTGCGGATGCTGTGAATTGTGTACATTTTATAGCCAGGCTAAAAGAATGTTGATGTTTAACGCGACCTTGAATCAGTCCAGTTAGTGTAGCTTTAGTAATGAGAAATTTACACTATGAGGAAACCTTTAGATAACTTAAAGACTGTGACAGTTAGTCTTATTGCCGAAGAGAGAAAAACTATACTTAATCATACTTTACTACAATCATTACCAATAAGGTGTGCCTTTTAAAGGTAATTCCGATGTGGAGGGTGACGAAGACGATGTGATACAGGACAACGCGTGGGAGGAGAGCGGCAAGTTCGAAGGAGACCTAATCCTGAATGACCGGCAACGGCGCGTCATAGTGGAGACAGTCGCCGAGGGGTTATCGAGGAATGGCCTTCGGGACACCACCAAGAGATGGCCAGATAATGAAGTTATTTACTTCATTCAACGTGAACACTTTAGTGGGTATATATTATAAATGTATCAGTTAACTATATTTTACTCGTTACATATATGTAAGTAAAAATGGTATAAGCCTAAAGTCAAAGACAATTTAGTTATGGAACAATATAAATCACGGGTAAGATGGCCTGGTTAAGGCTAAAGCCATTATAGCAGCAAGAGACTTATTATCGGGGATCTTTGAAGGTGCCAGCCGAAAGTAAATTTGAAGGAATGGTAAAAGGTGACTGTTTTGAATTTCAGATGATGACCAATTGCAAGCCATAAAGAGCGGTATTGAAGATATAGCACAAGCATCCTGTGTTAAATTTCGACCGTACCAAAAAGGGGATAGAGACGCGGTCGTCATACAGGTATGTATTAAAAAATCGAAGAATCGAAAGATACTTCATTCGACAATATTGGTTCAGGCGTTTAAGCTACAAGTAAAAAACAACATACATACGCACGAGAAAACATTACGTTCCTGAATTTGTCGGGTAATAGGTAAAGATTTGTAAAATAAAAACATATGAGAACATGTATGTTCTCGAGACTTTCGTTGTCATATTACTGTGTAGCTACTAATGTATTTAAATGTTTACATAAGTGTTTCCATACCGATATCTGTCGATTGTTGTAGGTAACCTAATACCGTTGAGTTTCTCGCACGCGTTCGCAATACTAAATTGGGGACAAGTTAGAGCATCTAGGCACGAGTTAAAAAGCAATGTAGCAATGTTAAAGAATACACAATTTGCTAGGCGACATTTAAATGACAGATTTTTAATAAGCTTTATATTTTGTATAATGTTTTAAATAAAAAATAATAATAAAATCGCGGATTGAAAGACTTCTTACAATTAATGGACTCTTCATCACTTACCTCCACTTTAATCCTACTAGGGTTCTGATTTCCTTATATTTGCTTAAATCAAATGTTCAAATGGCACATAAATTTGTTGTCCTTCGTACATATCATCGCAATTTAATTCAAATTTCAGGGTAGTAGACGCGGTTGCTTCTCCCAAGTGGGCTACCAAGGGGGTTATCAAGTTCTAAACTTGTACGGGCGACACCCGGTAGGGCGCGGCTGCTTCAGGCACGGTACCGTGGTGCATGAACTGCTCCATACCCTCGGCTTCTACCATATGCAGAGCAGCCCTGATAGAGACGACTACATCGATGTTCTCTGGGAAAACATAATTCAGCGTGAGTATAAGAATTTGTAAATGCATTTTGACATAAATGGTTTTGTTTAACGTGCTTTTAATTTGGGTCAAATCTAAAAATTTGAATTAGACCTATTTCCTGTTGAAATCATTCACTCGAAGGCTAATCATCTAAATCAACCTTAGTTCTTATGACAAAAACAATATTATTTAAAAAAACTTTTTGATGATTTTTTTAACTTTATTATTTAAATTTCGTAAGTAATTGTCGGACTAACGGTTGTTGTATTTTTGGACAAATTAAAATGCTGGTGAATCGTTTCTTTTTGGACTTTTTTTTACTAGCAGCGGACACTATGAATGCGTTACGTTAATATAAAATATATTTTATAAACTTCAACATTATAATATACTTGCAAACACATCATTAATTTATTTTTAATTTCCAATATATTTTTATCTAATTTACAGCCGCCAGACATAACTTTCGAAAATACAACACATTTGCCGTTTCTGATTTCGGTATTGGTTACGACTATGAAAGCGTCCTGCACTACAGTAGAAAGGCATTCTCATCAAATGGACAAGATACTTTAGTACCAAAACAGGTTTACATTTTTTACATAATAATTTCAATTCCTTTGACTTTAACATGTTATTAACCTGCAACTTAAAATTAAACTTTATTTTTTCTAGAACGGAGCAAGTATCGGACAAAGGCTTGGATTGTCTGATAAGGATACACAAAAACTAAATAAAATGTACTGTGATGCTGACTCCAACAGTGATGATGAAAGTCAAGCCCCTCTACGAAAACCAAATAAGAAGGAGAATTCTAAAAACAAACCGTTCGAAGGCCATGGCATTGGCTACCATCAAGGTAAAACTGTGGTTATTAAACTACCAGCGGTAGAAACTTATCGAGTACCAGATGTACCAACATTTCATTTGTTTGATTATTTTAGTAAAGCGCCACAAGTATTGTCGCAAACGCTTACCGAAAAAAGTGGATTCAGAGGAAGAATAGTACCATTACAACATAGTTTAATTCCACTACTGCCAGCTGAAGAACGGCGTCCAGTGCTACCAAAAGCCAAGCAACCAGATCAATATAAAATGATAGAAATGAGACCAGAAAATTTACCCGACGATGATAACATTGCTCCACCAATACCGGAAGAAAATTTAAAGAAGTACCAATCAGACATAAAACATTACATTAACAATATTATGTTCGCCAATAAAGAAGAAAAGGACGATCTTGATCAAAAACCAATTAAATTAGAAGCAGTAAATCAAGCTGACGAAGATTATGATTACCCTATCGAAGTATCAAATATTTATAAAATTAGGAATGATTATAGCGGATTTTACACGCCTAAGCAAAATTACAACAGTGGATATGAAGGTTTGAACGTAAGGGACAAAGACAAAATAGTTAAATATGATACTAACACTAATATGAATGGACATGATAATGAAAATAAATCTGACTTAGTTCTTAGTCCTAATTTACCATATTATGAGACTAAAGATTTTAGCAAACATAACAATGGTGATGATTTTGAAGAAGAGATTAGTTATAAAACATCAAATCCTATACATAAACAAAATAAACAAAATTTTGTACCGAGGCTTAGTAATGAACATTTTTTTCATACAAATGATTATAAAGATCATGAACCTAATAACAAAAACCCGCCTGTTGGCAACTGGAATAACTATTATGAATTTAAAAAACACAAACATGAGGGCAATTTAAATAAAGAAAATAAAGATTTCCATCACTTGGAAAGGAATAGCAATAAAAGTAGCATGCGCCTGCAATATCCAATCGTAGATAATAGTGATTGGGGACTGGGCAGATAGGTTTTTATATTAAATTAATTTGCTATAAGATTTTTGTGATATGTTTTATTATAGCATGTCTTAATAATTAATTGTACATAATGTAAGTTAATAAAGTTTTCAACCACACTAGAAAATATTTTATTTTTAATCATAGCTCAACTTTATATTGACGTTACTTAAAATATTGCAATAATTTATCTAAGTACGAACTCAACACGATTCTTTATTTGTCTCACAAAATGCTTAAAATGAAACGTACATTAGATGCTGTAAAAAATAAAAATAAAACTGACATTGACATTTGTTGTTATCGGAATTGTCAACATGATAAGATAATATTAACAAAGAATTGTAAAATTGAGTAATTCGAAATAATAACATTTCTTTAATACTTGCTATAATTTATAGATAATCTGCTTTGTTTGTTAAAGCCAGTAATGTGTCATGTTTACGAAAGTATTTTTAATCCTTTATTGCGTTGCAGTGTGTAACTGATGTATAACTCAGTAATTAATTAATAAACTCGTGTGATTAATACAATGCATCGGTGACAGTGTTTATAAAGGTTTCGTAATATTTTTTACATTTTAATGGGTTGTGCTGTGTCCGGTGTTCAGAGGGCAAAGATGTCATTGTTAAATAAAAATACCAACGACGCGCGCGCTAAATTGGAGCGGAAATTGTACTTGGCTAAGGAGTCACCTGAGCCAGACTTTGATCTATCTGATTGTCAGCTACGACAGTTACCGTCTGGTATATTTTCCATTTGTAAAGTGTTCAGAAAAGATAATCTTTATTTACAAAATAACTACTTGCGAACATTAGACAATGGAGGTTTATTATCTGATCTACACCTCATTAAGATTATCGATTTAAGCTACAATAGGTTTATCCATTTGTCTAACGATATAAGATATTTAGTTAGCCTCACCGAATTACATATACATCATAATCTGCTGAAGACAATCCCAGATAGTATTAAGTATTTGGAAAGTTTAAGAATATTAGATGTTTCAAATAATAAATTAACTAATTTGACACCTTCAATAGGTAGTTTAAAGACTTTAAATTATTTAAACATATGTCAGAATGAGGACTTGACTGAATTATGTCCAGAGGTGTGTTTAGCTCGGAATTTGAGACAAATAGATCTCGATGGAAATCAGTTTAAATTCCCTCCTACAGAAATAACATGTAAAGACACCAAAGCAATAATGATGTATTTATGTGAATCAATAAATATAGAGTATATACCTCCTTCAATAACGGAGACTGAAGATTTACAAGAACGAGAAATAAATAGAACTCACAATCCTTTTATAAGGCGAAATACTGTAACATGGGAGGAGCAAGAGGCTGCTATAATTGAACAAGAGAGAAAAATACACAAGGCGAATCAGGAACAGAGAGACAAGTTTCTCTCAGAGATTATTCAGGAACAAATAAACTTAGATACAGAAATAGCTAAAGTACATGAAGGTAGGGAAGTTGAAAGGCAGAGATTAATAAAAGCAATACAAGATAATGAAAAAGATATTGATATAACAGTAAAGAATTTCATTCAATCGGATGGCCTTAAACCAGAAGTTGTACAACAACAATTGGCATATGAAAAAGCTGAACATGATAGACTGCTTGAATTAACTAGACAGAACTATGATAATATTAAAAAATCAGAAGTTTTAAAGGCAATGGAAAATCTTATGAATGATGAAAATTCAGTTCAATACTTTTTGAAAGATTATAAAGATAATTTGAATAATATCAAAGAAAATATACTGATGCAAGAATCAGAAAGTAATTCAAAATTATCAGAATTTTTAAATACTAAAGATAACACTCGGTCAGTTTTAGTTCAACAGCTTTTGGAAGACGAAGATGTTCAAAAAGCACTTGTCACATCATTACTGGAAAAAGTTGATGCAAAGACATGGAGTTTAAATGAAGAAATATCATTAATTTCTTCACATCTTGCAAAACTAAGTGTTATTGAACAAGAGAAGAAAAAATTACAGATTGCCTACAATTACAATGAATTATTACAACAAAGGGTGCAACTTGTTAATTTATTAGATGATTTGTATGACCAAAGACAGAAAAGAAGGAAACAGCTTATTGAAACAATAAAGGAGGTTGAGATTGAAAACAATACCAGTAAAGATTTCTGGTTGAAAAACTATCAAAAATTAATTGATTCAGCACCTAAAAACTTGTTAAATGTGAGTAAACATTTGGACCCAATTTTAGCAAATTATCTTTTACAAGAAGGTGTAATACATTGCTTACCATTTTTGGTTAAGTTTTTATTTTCTGGTGAATCTTTAGCAAATATTACTTCAGAAAAGTTAAAAGAAAATGGTGTGACACTATCAGTTGATAGAGATGGGATAATAAGAGCCATAAATATGTATATTGATGTAAAATTGTCTAATAGCAATCACAAAGTATTGATAGACAATTTCCAACCAACTGCTCCTTTGGAAGATAATGTTGAGGACCAAGCTTGTTCGGGAGTACTGACTTTGAAAGAAGAACAAAATGAATTGGAAGGTGAATGCGTTATATGTATGGACGCTAGATCGGAGATAGTTTTTGTACCGTGTGGTCATATGTGTTGTTGTGTAAGGTGTGCTATTACTGATATTGATTTATGTCCAATGTGTAGGACGGGAGTGGAAAGAAAAATCAAAGTTTTGATCGCATGATTTGTGGATAGATATACCAATATTTGCTCATTTCTAGAATTTAATAAAAAAACATGTTAATGGATTTACTACATTTTCTCTAATTCATATTTCAACATGTTTAACATCTTTTGACTTTGTGTTTTAAATTTGAGTTTTGAAATTTTGCTATGCTATTTACACAATGCATAAAGTTTGCTAAAAGAGCAACTTTTTAATATTCTAAGCAATAAGAGACTATGTTGAGTATAATAATATGTAATATAATTACTAATTGTTTTTTATTTATTTTTAATCTTACTATTGGAACAAATATAGATATAGTTTTTTGACTAATGACACTAGTGTATAAGACTTACCTTTGGTTTCTGAGACCGATATCTCTGTATAAGACATATCGTCATCACTGTCATTGAGAAAAAAAGAGATAATATGTTTAAAACAGGGAATTTGGTATCAGAAACCCAAGGTTAATCAGCAATATGATAAATTCAAAAAACAAAACAGATAAGCTACTGTTACACTTTTTAAACTTATTATTATAAAATGCATATTTGGTGATTTTGCTTCGAATTTTTTGTAAGATAAAGTCAATCTAATTTGTGCCTTCACTTGTACTGTTCACTTTCTATGACCTCAGCAGCTTTGATACATTCCATTCTGTATATTTCATAGCCAGATTGCAATGTTATTTTCGAATATAAAATATTTATATTCGTAACAGGAAATGATAAAAATGATAAAATTCAGATGATTTTATCTCATATTTCCATTGTCATTGTATTGACCCTATAGTAATTTGTTTACTTCAAGTAATTTATTGAAATGAGAAGAAGGATAGGAGAGAGAGAGAGTGTATATGAAATATTTTTCAATTTTCATACGTCTAAACATGATAACAATTTTTAACACATTTTGGAATATGTTAGAATATTTGAAAAATCTTAACCCTGGTAACCAAGTCGTCTTGTTTTGAATTTAAATAAAAATCAGGTGGAATATTTCCAAGCTGTTACAGATTATAAAAACCTTACATTATAAGTGTTTGTTATATATTTGTATGTTGTTATTGAACTACGCACTGAGTTATACTGGTAAATCAAAGGCTGTGAATTTTTGAGTCAATTTTCTAACTCAGTTGCTTGTATGAACACTAACTTATTTAAAGAACTTTTTTTCAAACATAGTCTTTAATTATTTTTTTATTTGTCATTACTATTAAATTCATTTAAGTTTTGGTGCATATCGTAAACTGCAAATAATTTAGGGGCCAAGTATAGGAGGAAGAAAATAAAAAAACATACAGACTTCTTAAGAGCCTTCTCCTTTTGGAACTAAGTTAATAAATAGACTGCAAATGAAGTCGAAATAACATTACACAGAGTATTTAATATGTTTGTTCATTTATTTAAAATATTCATTCATTAATTAAAAAAAATAACGAAAACCTTTAAAATTAATATGCCATTATTTTATTTTTATTATTTTTAAACATAAAATTGTAGTCCATGATTTTTTAATTTTATTTTCGTAGTATTCTGATTTTTAATTTATTTATCGTAAATATAAAAAAATGCTTTAATTTTATCTGCTTTAATTAAATTTATAATTAGATTTTAGTAAATATTAATTCGTATACATTTATTTATATGTTAAATTGAAAATTTTATAGATTAATTGTCATCCTTTTATGACACAATTTATATTGTTATTTTGGATTTAAATAAATAAAAAAATGTGAGAGCTTAAACTGCATATTGCTTTAATTTTTTATTTTCACTTGCATTTTCTGTCACTCTATTGTTGAGCTTTTGTAAAAGACGTAAAAACATTTTGTAAAAATTTATTTACTTATATTCCACATTTTGAAAGAAATTTTGTAAAAGACGTTTTTTTTAATTAGTTTAAAATAAAACCTGTGTATTCTTGTCACTACTGTATATTACTCAATAAATAATTTTATGCACATAATTTTTTATTTTATTTGTATCCGATTAATCAAGAAATTATATGAATTATGAAATGAGATTAAATATACCCGGGGAAAAATAAGACGGCATTAAAATGACGTCACTGTGTGGTATTTTACAGAATACAATATTGCATGTTAATAAAGTGAAAAGTTTTTCCGTTGGTTTTAATTGGCGAAACATGTACAAAAACATACTTTTTCCATTTCATTGAACCCTCTATTTCGATAGTAGAACTATACGGTTATGACAAAAATATAGGTAACAAAACACTTATTTTTCTTATATGTTGTAAATACATATAAAAAAATTACGAATGGAATCGTTTAAATTATATACACTTTAATACGTTTTATTAGTTACAATATGTAGTAACATGAATATTACCTTTCATTAAAATCTTATTTATTTTGAAAAACACTAAGCAATCGAAAATATATACGTGAGTGTTGCCAATTGTTTGTGTTGCCAGTAACATACATTTAGAAATTGTTTTCCTTTTATTCACAGAAATTAAGATTATATCATGTTTTTTAATAAATAATTCAGTAACTTGATCGGATATCTGCACAAAAAGTATCGTAAACTCAATGACGGAGTTCACGATATAATAATTTATAAATTAGTTAAGGTAACTGATTTAGTTATAGTATGAAATTGCATTATGTTAAAATAATTGGAGTGTGGAAAAAGTTTTAAGTATATAAAATTTGAACTAATATAGCAGTCTTAATGGTTCGTTACGTATCGGAGAGTGGCCGTTATGTTGTTTTTTTTAATATTCGCAAGTACTTTTTTCTTTTTTTAAATATCACCATTACCAAATATATTTTTTCTCATCATTTTATTCGATTATATAATTTTTGCTCATCTTCCAATAAAACAAATCTTATATTGTGTTAAACTTAAAGCCAAATGTTTCATTAAAAAAGGAAAACTACTCTAAACACTAACAGAGTCGTATTAGCTCATACATGTGCCACTAGGCCCAGCTTGCCAGCGCGGGTTGCTTCACTTCACATTATCTTTGATTTCTTTCGCCGATATAGCAGAGTACAGTCCGTTGCATAAATATTTATACATTTACTAAGATTCAGAAACTTGTATACGATTTTGGTTTTAAAAATATGCATGAACGAATCGGTCCCTAAGCAACCGTCCATGAGTACATTATCTTAACGAATACGTGAAATCTTGTTTTTATTAGTATTTACTTATGGAAGTATAAATGTTCTAAACTTCTATAAATGTATACATATTTGTGCAGCTGACTGTACAGTTTAGTTATAAAATTAATTATATTTAATAATAATTATAGATAATAAAATTGAATATTATTTTAGCTTTTTTGTCACGTTGCTGGCATCGGCCATATGGGAAAGTATGGAACCGATTGGGTTTATTTTATGGATATGAACGGTAAACCACATTACGTCAGTATGACCGCGTCAGTCTATAATTTTAAAATGCCTGCTTTAACTACTGTAGATGTTTGCAGTTTTTGGTTATATACAAGGTAAATATTTCGTTCTTAGCATAGAACTAGCGACCATTACTTTCGTTTTGACTTTGACAATCTCATCGGTGTATCTTTTGACTATGGCCCACATTAAAAAATAATTTCTACGTTTAATAAAGTTACTACTAACGCTAGTAAACTAATATAGTAAACTAACTTCAACGGTCGAGTGGAAAAACCAATCGCAACGGACAAATGCCAAAACTAATTGCAACAAAATTTTAATTTGAAGTTTCAAATTGGACAAATACATTAACAGTCTTCATACATTATAATATAATATAGGTACTCAATAACATTCTCAAACTTCTGTTAAAATGACGATGGTGATGAATTTCAGAAAGAACCCTAAAGTATATCAGTTATTATCACCTAATAATTTTACGAATTCATACTTTATGGCCAATAAGCCTCTGATTCTGGTGACGCACGGCTGGATGGTTGACGGCACCAGTACCTCAACTCAGCTTATAAAGGACGCCTATTTAGATACATACGATGTCAATGTGATTGTGGTCGACTGGAGATACGTATCACAAATCAATTACCCTTCTGCCGCGACGAAAACAGAAGACATTGGCCATAAGGTGACGTTAATCGCTAATAGTTTCTTTAGCAATATTCACAAGTCTTTAGCTTTACATTCCTAAGACCCTAGGTAAGACTTGTTATTTTTTTTATTGGGATTAAAATATACATTTGAGCAAAACGATACGGAGATTATGTCCTGTCATGTTAACAATTTGAAATAGTGTATTACAATAAAATGACCTATAACAGATAAAAATTTATCCCCATTTCCCATGGTCGCGGAATCAAGCGAGAAAGCTTTACCAATTTCACCAAGTCTCTTTTTGCTATGTTTGATATTGTCAGAAGGTGGGAATGAATGAAAAAATAAATAAAAAAGGATTAAGATTAAATAAAGTTAACATCTGAAGTTATATTTGTTTTTAATTTGGGCTAAAGTTTATTAACATTGATCAAATTTGAAAACAAACGTAACTACATAATTTTATTTATGCATTAAACTTGGGTTTAAGTCATATCCATAGCTACTTAATGAAACACTATTATCGATTTCAGATCAGTGATATGCTAATCGCCATAGCTAAGCATTATGCATTCGACATGTCTCGTGTACACTTAATTGGACACAGTTTAGGAGCTCACGTGATGGGATCCGCAGGTTCTGAGCTTAAAAATAACGGTTTTACTGTGGGAAGATTAACTGGTTAGTTAATTATTTAATGGTTAGTTAATTAATTAATTAAGGATACTGAGTGTGGCAGTGTTTCGTATTTTGACAGCTTTAGATGCGGCGCGGCCATTTTTTGAAGTTCCACGTTTATTAAAGGGATTTTCTGCGAACGATGCAGCTTTTGTGGATGTGATACACACAAATATAGATTTCCTGGGTATTACTAATCCAAGAGGACATGCAGATTTTTATCCGAACGGTGGTTATATGCAGGAACCGTGTTGTCACTCAGCAAGGGATGTTAGAAGTAAGTTTTATCACAAGACAAGATATTTCATACATATAACATAATTTTTTAATGTACAAAGTGCCAAACGAGGAAGCGACATTTGGTATCGTTAAAATAGCGAAGTGACCTCTATTGTAGATATCACCAGACAGACGAACAAAATTCTAAATTAGTGAAAAACAGTTCTAATGTAAACTAACGTTCACTATAAGTTTTTTTTATATGGCTAAATATTTTTTTGATGTTTTCGAGTATATTCTAAAATAAAAAATTGTTACATTTAGTATCACCGTTTATTTAGTGTTCTTAAGTTAAAAATATTAATGGAGGCAATAAATGGCGCTATTTCATACTAGTAGTACTAGTGCTTCACTCGTGTTTTTTTTATTTAATTAAGGATATATTATTAATACAAAACATATTTAATTACAGATAATTGTCAGCATACCTGTGCCTATTACTACTTCAAAGAATCAATAAGAGGAAATATTTTCCAGGCACAAAAATGTAGTGATTTTGAATCTTTCCTTTCTGGAAAGTGCGTAACAAATGAAACGAGTTATATGGGAGAGATGTGTACGCCGGAGTCTCACGGCAAATTTTATTTAGTTACTAAAGACCCTATTAGTTTTTTTTAATACTGTACTTTACAGTAAATCTGTTGGAAATATCAATTTTAATTTTATAACACTCTGTATAAAGAGTTTGTTTGTTTTATTTATTAAATCAATTCATAAAATTAAGAAAAATACATATTAATGTGAAAGGAAAGAATTCTTCTTCAATATAATATTTATATTAACAGTTCAATTTACTTGTATTTAAGAAGTATTTATATGATTAAATTATAATTTAAAAATATGAAAATGAAATTTCCCTTTCTTCGTAATATTTTCATGTAAATGTAATACGGAGTAGGAAAAAATTAGCATGACCCTAGCGGTAATATAAAGGGCGTCAAGTTTAACATAATTCCTTTTTCTCGCGGTAATAATATTGCAGTATCACTTTAAATGATGATAAAAATATTTTTAAATCGACAAATAATAAAGCAAACATTTTAAATTATAACATACTGGTAATTATAATTAAAATGTTATTAAAAGCTACAAAGTATCTGTATTTACATATGTATATATGTTATGTATATCTATATATATCAAAGAAAGTCGTGTTAGTTACACTATTATATTTATAACTCAAGAACGGCTTTATAGATATGGTTGAAAATTGGTGAGGAGATAGCTTAGAGCCAGGAGACGGACATCGGATACTATTTAGTATTTTTCTTTCGAATTTATGCCTTGAAAACTGCTTTTTATTTCACTTATCCATATATTAAGTCTTTTTTATATATCCACGCGGACGGAGTCGCGGGCGACAGCTAGTATGTTATGCAGGCAATGTCTCAATAATTAGAAAATCAAATTCTAAGCTAAGGGTTTAATTTCTTAACTACAAACATCCTATTAAAATTATAAATGCGACTGTTTAGATGGATGGATGGATGTTTGTTTGAAGGTATCTCCGGAACTGGTGCATGGATCTTGATGAAATTTGACATAGATGTAGAAAATAGAACGAACGAATCTGAAATATCATATTACGTTTGTTTTTAATTCTGCGTGAACGGAGTCACGGGCGACAGCTAGTTAAGTATACTTCTTAATTAGAAGATCGCGAAAGTGGAAAAGGAAAAAAACAAAAGCAGAGATCAAAGATTCCAATTAATTAATGAAATTTGTCAGATTCATTTATCACGAGAAACGTCCAGGAAAGGTTTTCAGGACTATTTCTTTAATAAGATAGGCAATTTTGTGAAGCGTTCGAGAAAAGCTCGTTACCCTAATTGAATACAATCCTATGAAGGTTTGCTCTGTGATTGTTAAAGTATTAAATGTCATAAAAAATTGCTCTTTTGTAACTCCACGTTGTAACTATCGCTTTGGAAAAAACTTCGCAGTAAAATTACTTAGTGATATAGAAACTTTATTGATTTCTATTTTGGGTAACCGAATCCATAACTATGTTTCCAATGTTTATAAAATAACTAATTAGCTGTAATAATTTTTTTTGTTGATTCAAAACTGAAAAAATTCAAAACACTGTTCCCGATTCGTTTACATGTTTTAACAAATTTTATGGAGTAGGCTATGTAATTTGGAATATTATAATTACAGAGAAAATTATAGCAGGACAAGTATTTCGAAAAATATATTTAGAAAATTATTTTGAAAAATCTATTTAGAAATTGTCGGAAGAACGTAAAGTGGCGCTTTTAAGGAAGCTTTTAATAAAGCACTCACTTGAATTACACGAGAATATTTTGGAGCTCAGTGCGGTGTGCGACATACATTTTGAATGTTCTATTTTATTCATTCCTTATTATTTAAATTAAATTGAAATCTTGATTGAAATTGAATCTGATTTAAAAATATTTTGAACGAAATTTCTAAATTAGCTTAATCGGCTGCCAATTTACGGTTTCTATGGCGTGATTTATATGAATACTTTCATTTCAAATGGATCCAAAGAATAAGTGGATAAGACTCATTTTTCCACTTTCTTACTATTTATCTACATTTTATAAAAGTTATAAAATGAATTAGCATCGTATCAATCAGAATAGTAAGGTAATGCAGGATTTTTTTTTATTGGACGGCGCTATGCCGCCCTCTCGTTCCCCTAACATGGCGATCAGGGACTTTGGGGTACTAATCTCTTTATTTCTTTATTAATTAAAAAAGTCAACAAATTTACAATAATTTTAAAAATATTTACAATTTCTTATAAAATACTAGTTAAGGTAATACAGGATTAAATAACTTGCTACACTGATAAAGTATGAAAAATCAACACTAAGTAATTACCATAGTGACCAATTAATGGTTCCGAATAAGGCAGGAAGAGTATCAGCAACGGTGAATGTGGAAGAGATGACAGAAGTAAGTGTGGTAGCTGAGGACAAAGTATTTCATTTACAAGTAAACGCAAGCTATTACGTTGTACAAGAGGCGTATTTTCCGTGCGGACAATGCAACAATTACTCTTGCGGTCAGCAACGTCCAGAGCTTGCGTCAGCTCAATCTAACTGCTCTTCATGTAGTCAGAATTGTGTGGGAAATGTTACTTATGTACATGAAAATGACGTCATTTCCTGACTTATTTAGAGTTACTATTTCACATGTCTAATATAGTATTAAATAATGAACTTTATTTCTTAGATTTATTCTGTTAAATAAAATAGAGAGATAAAAAGGTTTGAAAGTCTCGGATTATCCCGCTTTTTCGATTAACCTTTGTCAAGTGAAGTAAATAATTTTTAAGTGAAGAGCGTCGACTTGAGTCCGCAGCTGAATTGTATAACAAACAACAGAAAGAAATCCATTTGAGCGCGGCCACCTCTTCGCAAACGAATGAAGGAAAAGGAAATTGTTTTTACTTAAGAAACTTGTGGTTTTAATTTCTCTACTTTCTATCAGGCACTTATCTAATATTATTTTTATTCTTACTCTACAAATGCTGAAGTAAAAACAAAGAAGTAAATAGTGAAAATACCATCAAAGTATACCTACTACATGCACATAGTTATAAAATATTTTTAAACTTCAAGATATAGAAGAATTTGGCTATTCCGGTATTTTTAAACGAATCAGGACATAAAAATTAAATATGCAAACGATTTTCCCAGTTTACGGCTAATAAAGTTTCAATATTATCATATCAGTAAAATTTTCGCCCGAATGAATTTTACTTCAATAGACGACCTTCCGATTTGTCCATTAAACAAGATTTAGTAAAAATTAAATACGTCAGAATTCTTATAAAACAAAAAAATCATGGTTTCACGTAATTCGAAAATGTTTTTCCGTGAATGGAAGCTAAAGACGTTGATAATAACAATACTGAAATTAGTTTTACTTGCCACTAAATCAATACTGTATTTCCGCTGTTGGAATCGAAATATTTTAATCAAACGAACTACTGACTCGTACATAATTTTGTGTATCGACCGAAATGTTTTTGATCATGATATATCTGGTTACTATTCTAGACGATTAGACGTTTGTCTCGTTTAAATAATGAAACTAATAAAATACATGTAAATCTATCAATTATGGCTTAAATGAATTAAATAAAAAGAAATATAAAGACGCAAGAAATACCTAAAAAATACTCTTGACTTAGAAAACAAATGTAACAATCCTAACTAATATTATAAATGCGAAAGTTCTGTTCTGTTCTGTTCTATTCTATATAATTAATTAATGATTACGTCTACCGTTAATCTGCCTACCGTTTTCATTTACTAAGATGCGATATTATATTACGGTATAATTTGGTGACGTCATAGAAATATAATAGTTGCGAGTGCGGTCACTTGATTCATTCCATCATTCACATTCGTATAGAAAATATATCGTAACATACCTTGTTATAATTTATATCTATACATATTAATAAGATTGGAGTAAAGAAGTATGTGGAGTATTCTGAAAGCCTTAACAAAGTATAGGTCAAGGTTTCGAAAAGGTTTTTATATGATTAATGAATATCGTAACATCGTGGACAAAACGTATTATTCACTGGACGTAGAGAAATTGTCGCGTGGAAAGTACAGATTATATCTAACAACGCAATAGTCTTAAATGGAAGAAGAAAAATTCTCCAACAAAAAATGGTAAGATCGGTGATCATTTTTAGGCGAGGATTTGTTCTACAAAAAAAAAAGACCAAAAATAAATTGAATTATAAATCATTTTTAACCAAATTATATGTTATATCTGTATTCGTTTTACAGATCGTTTGACATGTTTAATAATTGACGCTTATGTTTACGACATTACCTGATTTGACACTTGACTTGGTAATAAAAGTGCGCCATTCACAATGATTCTAATATTGTCTATAAGTAGAAAGCGAATTTATTCTTTGATAGATCGTTTCTACATTTTTTGTACAGTAAATAGTTTAGCATATATTCCTCTGGATGCAGGTTCTATTAATTAAGGTAATCGAATAACTGTGGACTGCAGTTAAACGATTAGTGGAAATGGCACCGTGAATAATTGAACAACATCTGCTGACGTATTCCAACGGAATGGCGCGCGGACGAATCGATTTCTAGATAAGATTATTTATTTAATTGAATTGGAATATTTTTTCAGATCAATAATAATAAAGTGAAATTATCAATGACAAAGAAATTAATCAAACATTTAATATAGAAGGCAGATATAAATTTCTACATCCTTGTCTTCTTAAAACTTATATTCATCTCGGGGATCTACGGTCGATCGTCATGTATTAAGTATAAAAAGTACATTTTAAAATTACTAACATAAATATAAACGTGCAGTTTTCATAATAACAAAGTAGTATATACAAAGGGATTGTTTTTTTAAATAAAATATCTGCATTACTAGATAAATTATTGTTGCAACTTTTATTTGTATTGTGAATGTCCACAAAATGTTTGATACTGCCAATTGGTAATTTATTGTATGTAATCGAGCCTCGTCTGTCTGAATAATTCAGTTAATTGGAAAGTTCGCATAAACTTTCTGTAACTGGAGCTCGTAAAATATACAGGAATGAATTTATTTGCTCTGTTTCATACGAAAATAATTCAACTCGTTATTCTGAAAGGTTTTTGCGGCGAAATCGTAAATGTATTAAC